CTTCATCAAGGTTTTACTTGCATGTTTTATTAATGTTATTATTTTATATTTTCCACATCCTCTTCGATTACCTTTTTTTGGGAAAGGAAACAAATATGGATCTCTTCCAGTCAGTTAATCAGGAAACTATCTTGGCAGACACTGGTAAGTGCATCCAGGGTTGCATCTCTTTCCTGAAACGCCTCAATTGTTATTCCGTCTATACCTGAAGCCTTTTTGTTGTTGTTGTTGTTGTTGCTAGTGCTTCAGTGCAGTTTGAACTTCTCTCTTCAGCATTAATAGTTCTTGATCATCTGCTATTTCCTGAAATGGTTCAGTGTCAACAAATTCTTGTTGATAAAGTAACCCTTATATTTCTTCCATCTTCTTTTGATGATCCATGCATCATTCAGGATTTTGCCATCATCAGTTTTGCAGCACAAGACTTAAATTTGGTCTTCAGTTTTTTTCAGCTTGAAAAATACTGAACGTGCTCTTCTCTTTTAGTTTTCTAAGTCCAGCTCCTTGTGCTTTTCGCTATAATGCTTTCCTTTGTCTTCTTGAACTGCGTTTTGAAATCTTCTGTTCAGCTATCTTACGTTGGCATTCCCTTGTTTTGGCTTCTTTCCATTCCAGTGCAAGTTTCAGTCTGTTACTACATCAATTTAGGTCTTTTCTTGCTTCCTCGTCTTTGTAATAGCCTTTTGCTTTCTTCATGGATGATGTCCTTCCACATCTCGTCTGGTCTTTGATTATTAGTGTTCAGTGCCTCTAATCTAGTCTTAACACCACAACAAGATAAAGGTAACAACACAATCGCAAAATAGGCACACGAGATGAACATACACTTCACCAAAGAAGACATTCAGATGATGAACAAACACATAAAGAAATGTTCAAAATCCCTAGCTGTAAGAGTGGTGCAAATCAGAACAACTATGAGATATCATCTCACCCCAGTAAGAATTCAACAGAGCAGCAAACAACAGATGCTGATGAAGTTGTGGAGAAACTGGGATCCTTATTCATTGGTAGGAGTATAAAATGGTGCAACCGCTCTGCAAGGCTGTATGGCACTTTGTCAAAAAGTTGCAAATGGAAATACCATTTGACCCAGCAATTCCGCTACTGGGAATATAACATAAAGAGACCAGAACTATCACCCAAGCAGATATGTGCACACCCATGTTTATTGCTGCGTTTTTCACAATAGCAAAGAAATGGAAACAACCCAAGTGCCCATCAACAAACAAATGGAGAAGTGGTGGTATATTCATACAATGGAATACTCTGCAGCACTTAAAAACAAGGAACTCATGAAATATTATAAAAATGGGTGACCATGGAGGACGTTATGCTGAGTAAAATACCTCCATCATGAAAGGACAAATACTGCATAACGCCACTGTTATAAAACAGGACTGACATGAGAGTTGTAGGGAAACTAAGAAAAGAGGGAATAAATAATGTATACTGCATTGAAACAGATGAGGGAGAGAACTTCTTTAAAGGAATATGTGATTAGATATTATTTGCATGACAACAGTCCAGAATAAGAGCTGCATAGTAAAGTGGACTGGAGGAGGGGAATTGTACAACAGTGAAAGAATTTTTTTTTTAAAAGAGAAAAGCTAACTAGGGGGAGAGGTGAGCAGGGAGGAAAATGTGCAACAAAGAATGAATGGAAATCCATGTTCTCTATAAACTTTCATTAAAACAAGATGCAATGCAAAAAAAAATCTCATCTTAAGATGATTTTTCCATTTCTGTTGGAATATACTCAAGGTCATATTTTGAAACTCAGATACTTGTTTTCATTTTCTTCAACTTCAGTTTTAATTTCTATGTGAACAGTTGATGGTATGTTCCTATTAGCCCCATACTGATTTTGACTGCTAATTCTGAACTTCCCCAACATTTCTTTCCACAGATGTAGTTAGTCTGCTTCCTGTGTAGTTCATCAGGTGCCATCCATGTATGTAGTCACCATTTATAATTTTTTTAAAGTTATTTGCTGTGAATTAATCATTCACTGTAGAAAGTTCATATGATTTCCAGTTTCTTTTCTGTCACCAAGGCCATATTTTTCCAACTATCAACTTTTGCATTCTAGTCATGAATTATTAATGTATCTTAATTATATGTTTGATCAATTTCAGACTGTAAAAATTGGTTGGAATCCTCAGGTACACTTCAGCTTTGACATTACTGATTGGTGCATATATTTGAGTAATAGTTATATTACAGGACTTACTTTTGTATGTTTGGATATTAGTCTATCGCCCACAGCATTATACTTCAGGAGAGATCTTGAAATGTGTTTTTTGATCATCACTGCCAAACTATTCCTCTTCTATTTTGTCATTTCTGGCATCGTAGATCATCTGATTGTCTCATTCAAAATGGACAGTACCAGCTCTGAGATAGCCTAGAATGCCGATCTTTAAGCTTTCCATTTCATTTTTTACCACCTCCAGCTTTCCTAGCTTCATGCTTTGTACAATTATTGTTGGATATTTGCAGCTGTTTCTCATTTTAAGCCTTGCCACATCAATAAGTGAAGGTCCCTCATTGGATGAAAGCCTGCTCCATTTGTGTCATTACGGTGGACTGTGCTCTGAGAAGGCAGCTCTTCCCTACACTCATTTTGAGTGCCTTCCATCCTGAGCGTATCATTTTCTGGCATTCTATCCAGCAGTGTTCTTCCCTTATCCTTAGTGATTTCGAGGACCTGCTGTTTCAGAAGTGAACGGCCAGTGTTGCCTCTTAGTCTTTCTTAGTCTGGAAGCTCTGCTGAAACCATCTAATGTGGGTGATCCTGAAATACCAGTAACATGAATTCCAATACCACAGGAACATGCAAGCCACCACAGTACAGCAAATTAACAGACAAGTGGTGACAACAGTGTTTACTCAGCAGTTATTTTGCTGGAATAACATATGACATGGTTGGAGAAACAAGGTATACTTATCAGCTATTAATAATCCCAAAAGAAAGTAAACTATGTGAGTGATAAACAGAGGGAGACAGACTGGACTAGTCAGAGAAGATTTTGTGGAAGCTCTCCTACTCAAGCTGGGAATCAGAACTTGAGTGAGGTTCTGATTGACAGTATCCAGTCACAGTGACAGTGGAACTTGTATGCATTCAGGTTCTGAAGTGGTATGAGTCTGCCAGCCTTTGGTCATCTGCCCTCTACTTGGGTGCCTAAGAGACTCAAATCCACCAGCTGTTGCTTAGGCTCCTCCTATAAAGTTTTATAGTCTTGGAAACCCAGTGGAGGGTCGTTATGAGCTGGAACTGACTTGATGGCACTAAGTAGGTAGTGTGTGCAACAATTAGATCACTGGAGCGCCTTTGAGAGAATAGTGATAGTCAGTGGTAACTTAACTCAAAACAAATGTGATGATCCAGTTGTCTTGGCTAAATATCCTAAAAACAGATGGAAGCATTGCTTTCTCATACCCTACCAGATTTATGCCTCTTTCTTTATTATTTTTAATCTCCTTATTTTCATGTTCCTCCACTATGTATTTCTTTCTTCATTATTAGTATCTTCCTTCTATACCATTCTTCTTCTCCCTCAAGCTTTTCCTCTGTATTTGCCAGTCTGTTGAGGACCTGAGGAAGTAATTTCAAGTTAGAGTTGGTCAAGTTTAACATTCTCGAGCCATAATTTAAGAGGTGGGAACTGAATGTTAATACTTCTGAATTTAGATTTGCCATGTGTTTCATCCATTCCAAGATGCACAGTTACTCCCTTTTTACCAGCTGAAATCAGGAAATGTTTATAATCGATATCATGTTATAACTTAATTACTAAATTTTTAAATTTCATAATGTATCTCACAAAGGGTAGCATCTTAGATCCAATGAAATAGGATTCCCTTCCCCACACTGTGTTACTTTCTGTGCCTTGCACTCCTAAAATACAAATTTTATCTTTGAAACAGTTCAGCTAGGTAACTTTATTTCTGAAGAGTGGCATTTTTTTAGTAACTTTGCATTCTACATAAGGAGAAGTAATGAGCAGTCTCGTTATTTTTAAATGAAAACGTTATTTATATGGTCATAAAATTTTAATTGGAGTGGCATCCACTTCTTAAACAACAGGGCTCCAGAAACTATGAACTTTGATAAATGTCAATAGTTATAGAAAGACTTCGGGCCTTTTGTTCTTAGGGTTACCATGAGTTGTGCTCAACACAAAGGCAATCAACAACAACTAACATATGTCCACATACAGATGTGAGGAGTAATCTAAGTTTTTTGTTGATTGTCAATTTATGACAGACCATAAATAGGCTTTCTCATCTGTGTCTTAGCTTTTAATTCATTTAGTTAATGGCTCATTTATTAAGGCCAGCTTAAGGCATTCAGCCCCCATATGGGATTATTGGCTTTGTGCCTCATACCATCAACTTAGAAACCCATTCAGCTAGGCATCTAGTGGTACTAAGGGTATTGTTTTCAGGGCAGGCAGGAGAGGTAGATGGAAGAGGGAAAAGAAGTTGTTAGAAATGTTTACAAATCACCTCCCTATGACCAGAGAAGGGAGCTCTGGTAGCTTAATGGTAATGACTTGCATTGCCAACCCAAAAGAATGTGACTCAAATCTACCAGCTACTCTGCAGGAGAAAGATGGACATTCTCCTCCCTGGTGATTTCCTGCTTCTGAAAATTCACAAGAGGGTCAGCTATTAGTCAGTTCTGACTTTATGGTACGTGAGAGCAATAACAATGGTCAGAGAGAGACAGAAACACTCTCAGCAAGACGGATTAACACAGTGTAACACTGGGTTTTAATATCATAAAGGTGATGCAGGATAGAGCAAGATTCAGATATGTTCATAGATGGGTTTGCTATGTCTCATAGTCACCTCAATGGCACCTAACAACTGCATGACAACTGATAATGTAATTGTCTCATTCCCTTTACTTTTTCTACTTTATTAGTGTGTATTTGCCATAGACACTAACTTGAGCCTGGGTCCTGCTCCACCCTGCCTTGATTTTGCAGCTTGCAGTGAGTTGCATACTCCATCACTTGATCGAAAACCAAATAGTTTTGTAGCAGTGAGTGTAACCACCCCTCCTCAGGCATTCTGGACGAAACACGCACAGACGGAGATCATTGAGGTGGGTGCTGCTGGGTCCCTCAGTGTGGTGTCCTGATGGGGGGGCTGCCTGATTACCTATCACTGTATTTTCACTTTTGTGAATGGTTACTGGTCTCTAGGTTTTCAGGACATCGATCCTGTTCACTACAATTACTCATCTAGATGACATTTATATTGGCCGTATCTTTCACAATTATTGATTAGCCATTTGCAGGTTATTTTTGAGAATTGATCCTGTAAAACTCATTGCTTTTGAGACAGAAGATCTTATTCCCATTGGTTACCATTTTTGGAGAACTGTGCTTATGAATCAAATCTTGGGGAAGGATTCACCATTAGCCAACCTTCTTACCAGAACATACTCTTGGTTTTTAAAATGTGTTTTTATTTTTATTACCTTTTGAGCTAAGTTCTGTATCTTAGCTTTTTTTTCACATTAAATTATATATACTCACTGAGGGAATTTACAAAATCCTTTTAGACAGTTGAAGTAGTGCAGAAGTTAGCAGACCAAGTGTGGGAGTTGCTAGTGTGCAGTTCTGCAGAGATTGTGTGTGTGTGTGGAGGGGGCGGAGATCATCTATGTTGGACAGTCCTCTTCCTGGCAATCTCTAACACATAAACTTCATTTCTTCTCCTTCCTCATGTTAGATAATAGGCAGCTTTTCAGTCTGTTGGAAATTCATTTCTGTGTTGAATTAATCTATTCTACCTCCTAAGCATTAGTTGAGTGTTACTTACACATAGAGCATAGTTCTGAGCTCTACGGATGATACAGAGGTTTTTTTTCCCAAGCACAATCCTTGTCCACTTCATGTGGAGGAGGAGACATAAATGAATATGACTACACTTACAGCCACTGGGTGTGGGAAATGTTGGAAAGAGGAGGAGAGATCCATGAGACCTGAGGAGGATGTTGTCACATCCAGTTCATAGTATCAGGGAGGTCCCCTAGGTAGTGCTTAATGAAGTCCTGGTCCAGGAGGCCCGGACTGGAGCCTAGAGATCGGCTCTTCGAGGAAGCTCCCAGATGAGTCTTTGTTGCCAGTCTGGGGATCATTCATTGAAGAGTAAAGTCCTGAAGGACATTATGTCTGGCTCTAGGAGGATATGTCAGGCTGAGAGGTAGAAATAATGAAAACGGCTGCTTGTGTGGAAAGAATGACATTCCTATATATGCAGATACTATATAGCACAGCACACATAAGAAACTGGTCCTCAAAAAAAGATACACACTAAGCTTTTTTGGTGGTGAATGTAACATTAAAAATACAAATTAGACTTAAAACTCACCTTTTTCCGTTTAAAAATGTCTCCCCTGTTAAGAGGGAAGCAGCTTTCTGTAGTGGGCCTGTTTATTTTATCTGAGTCCTGACATCTGCAGACTAAAAGTGCCAGATTACATACCATTATTATTTTTGTTCATCCTAGCTGATAGGAATACTAATTTATCATTCTGAAAATTTCTATGTACTTTAAAAGCATTTAAGATAACTAATAAAATATGTATGAGGATACAAGGGGGGAAGGATGGAAGCTAAGGGGTGAGGATAGGTAGGGGGTAATGATGGGGTCGCACAGTTTGATGGGTAGAGGGAGGGGTGCATTAAGGAAATGGGAAAGATCTGGTGTGAAAAACTATGTGTACGAATTTTGTAAAAATTTTCTATTAAAAAAGCAATTAAATACTCAGCTGTGCATTTTGATGTTTTTCTAATAATATCTGCATTTCTTTTCTATTTTAGGGAACCAACAATCCTATATTTCTAAGCAGCATTGCCTTTTTTCAAGACTCTCTTATCAATCAGATGACACAAATCAAACTATCTGTATATGATGTCAAAGATAGATCTCAGGGAACAGTTAAGTAGCATGTTACTAGTTCCTGGCATTTTCTTCCTTCTTTTTTTAAAGCTAGGTCATCATTTTAGTGAGAAATGAAGACAAGATTGACCTCAATACTTATATTTTAGCTAATGTCTAAATTATTTGTCTTGGGAATTTCTTTTTGAGCATCTTCTTTGGTCTCGTAAGATGAGGGTTAGATGTATTATGGGAGCCAGCTCGAGCCTGGGGCAAGGTAACTGGATCAGAGGCAAAGTAAAGATGCTAATCTTATCCTTCTCTGTTCTCCCTTCCCTAGATGTATTTACTAGGCTCTGGAACCTTCGTTGTCAAAGACCTACTCCAGGACAAGCATCATAGGTTGCATTTAACACTAAGGTTGGTATTTCATTCTATTTCTTTGAAAAGTACCTGAAGTGCTAAGGTTATAGAATAGACGAGAAAAGTCCCATTTCATAACAGAGGCCTTAAGAGAGAAGGTGATGCCTGTCGGGACAAGGTAAACCATTTAGCCCATCAGAAGACCTGACCGGGAATGGAAGAGCATGACACTCAGAAGGAAGAAACCTCCCCAACTGTACACTTACCTAAAGGAAAATCTCAGACATATAGTACAGTAATAAAGGCTTTTGTTTTCTTCCCTGTTTCTTCCCCAGTACAATGATATCACAGAGCAGGGGTTTTGTCTGTTTTCCATCTTCATTGTTATGTCTCTGGCACTTAAAACAGTGCCTGGCATATAATAAGTTCTTAGTAAACACCTACTGAAGGAATTTATGAATGAAAACAAGAGCCTTCACTGTGTCCCAGAGTAGGAAGAAGAAAAATGTCAAGATGTCAACCCTTCCCAGATTCATCGTAAGGACAGTTCTCTTAAAAATCCCAACTGGTGGTCTTTTTTTCAAGATAATGTAGAAACTGGAACTCTCTATTAGGTGTGAAAAATAGTCTAGTAAAGAAAATACTGATAAACAAGATTAATTCCCTACCAGATACTGAGTTATTTTGAAGCTACAGTGGTGATAGTGTAGGCACTGTCTGTCAGATCATGGGCAGGACGAGAACACTACAACTCTGTGTGTGTGTGTGTGTGTGTGTGTGTGTGTGTGTGTGTGTGTGTATCTTCATTTATCAGAAAGGGTGAGTGCTGGGTAAAACGAAGAATGGGATGGAAGGAAAGTTTAAGAAAAATATTTAGGTATGTCATATGCTAAAGCTATTTCAGTTATAATAGTGTTAAAATGAGAAATGATTTTTTAAAATAAGCTATATGTGACTGTTAAGTAGATCATAATATGGAAAGGACTTTTTCTCTTAATGAGAACCAGATTTTCAAATGGTTCATTTCATTTAAACTGTTTGATGAGAATTTACATTTCTACCCCAGATAGACTGTCTCAGAATTGACATTTTATCAAGATCCCCAGTTAAGAATACTGCGGAATCAACTGGGGGTCTGTAACCTCTATCCAGCATGAGTAGGTCTTTAAGTTTCTTTGCAATCAAAACTTTGTGAGAAAACATGAATGTTCTTGGTTTACTTGGCATCCAGGCCAGAACCCTAGGTGACATTAGTCAAAGTATGAGTGAGTGTATAATTGAAAGGAGCAGAAATGATGCTGGAATGGATATGGTCCAGCCATAATTCTGAGATGCTTCTCCAACATTCTTTGGGAGCTGGAAGAACCCAGGAATTCACAGGCAGCTTGGAAGCAGGCTCTGCCTCCTCTGTCTCTGACTTCACCATGTAGACTGAGGTGTTCCTTATCCAGCCCTGTAGTGTTTTGTTCCTTTCCAGACACAGCTGTGCTCTGCTGGTGTCCTGTCTGCCTCTCTTGGAAATCAGTGACCCTTGATTTACTGTCTGGATGAGTAGGTGGGTGTCCCAGCACCCTTCAGCGGCTCAGGATGTCTAAACCTCATTTAAGCAGAAAATGAAGCTAATTGCCAAGCCACTCATGAGAGTGCATTGCTCGTTGCAGGTCTGCAGAGAGTGACCGTGTGGGCAACATCACCGTGATAGGTTGGCAGATGGAGGAGAAGTCAGACCAGCGGCCCCCTGTGACCCGGTCTGTGGACACTGTCAATGGGAGGGTGAGCACCCTGCCACTCCTCTTTCTGGCTCAGTAGACTGCCACGAGCAGGCCCCAGGATACTCTAGTCATCTATAGGCCCATCTCAGAGTAAATAGGGTGGAGCTCCCACCGGAGAGGCCTGTGTGGCCTTCAAGGGTTTGTGCCTTGATGCCAACCTCTACTCCTGGCTCCTTAATCCCAACGAAGGAGAGCAAATGGATGAGAGGCATTGCCATCAGGAAAAGAGGCATCTCAAGTAACAGTTCATGGGACATGAAAGCATTTTTGTTACTATCTTCCTCCTCCTGACATACTCACACCCTGCACATGGCCCACAATGGTTTAATGCACAACGCAGTCCACCCACACCCACCTTCTCATGCATACTTCCCACAGCATACACTTGCCAGCCCCCTCTCTCACAGTCTCGTACGTATATCCTCAGGCTCTCAAATGAAAATGCAAATTTCAGAACCCTCAGACCTGGTAACTAGTCATTGTTATCAGATATCCAGATAATCTCATTCAGCCCGAAGAAGCCAAGCCTGCTGGTCCTGAAAGTATTCATCATTAGTCTCTCCTTTATATTTAATACATCTAAACACTGAAGCCCAAGGTAAAGTTACTTAGGCAAAGGAAGTACATGTGTAGAAAACTGTTTGCCTGGAATACTTTCCGTCCACCAGAAGGTAAATAAATGTGCCTTGTGGCTTTTGGGCAGTTGATTATGGTCGAGTTTAATGGTGGGTTTTCTTTTAAGAGCCTTTCATAATGTGTAGAGGTCACCATTTCTACAGAGCATTCTGGAGTCTCACAGGATTCTTGTGTTTTTCTGTACTTGCCATCAGATGGTTTTACCTGTTGATGAAAGCTTGACCGAGTCACTGGGACTCCGATCCAAATATGCTTCATTGCGAAAAGACACCTTATTAAAATCGGGTAAGCTGCGTCCTCGGCCAGTATTCTTGCCACTCCTCAGACTCACAGCTGTGCGCTCACTTTTTCCATCTCTGCTGTTTTATCAATGTACCATTATTTTTCCCAGCTATTTATAGCATTAGTAATGGTCTGAGAAAAGAAGCTCTTCCTTCTTCATTTCACTTTCTTTGCCTGTTCCTGCATTGGTCTTGTTGTTAGGTGCTGTCAAGTCAAGTTTCTATTCAAAGAGGAGCCCCCATCCCTTCTCAACCCTCCATGACAGAGTAGACCTGCCTCACAGGGATTCCTAGGCTATAATCTTTACAGGAGGGAGCTCGGTGGTCTACTAAGGTGCTGTGCTGCTAATCCAAAGGCACATGGTTCAAATCTAACAGCTTCTCTATAGGAGAATGATGGGCAGTGTCCTCCCATGTGATTTATAGCCTCTGAAAACTGGATAGTCCATCCAGTGGCTGCATGATCAGCTCTGAGTCCGTTCTGACTCGATGACATCAACAGCACAGCAGTCTTTACGGGAGCTGGGAGCTGATTGCCCATCTTCTCTGTGGTTCAAACCACCAGCCTCTCAGTTAGCAGCTGAAAATGAAACCATTATGGCCCTGGAGCCCCTCACTCCTCAGCCCTTCACACTTACGCGCTAATTATTTTGGGTCGAGAAGATTACATGTTCCAGGGAGGACATTTTCAGGATAGTCTGTTGTTGAGTTTGGGGTTTGAATATTTTAATTTCTGTGAGAGGAACAGTAGACTTGAGGGTGGCAGCCTCACTTGAGGGTAAGGGAGGGGGCCCACAGGGCAGATCTGGCACCAGTTCACACTCTGCCTCTGTCCCTCTGCCACCCCACCTCAGTGTTCGGCGGCGCCATCTGCCGCATGTACCGGTTCCCGACTACCGATGGTAACCACCTTCGGATCTTGGAGCAGATGGCGGAGAGCGTGCTCTCCCTGCACGTGCCCCGGCAGTTCGTGAAGCTCCTGCTCGAGGAAGATGCAGCCAGGTGAGGCCCCCTCATGCCCCCATGCTCTGCCTCTTCTTTTCCAGAAAGCTCCAGGATGTGGTAGGCAGAACATGGCATTCGCTCGGCCTCCACTGCAAACCCTGCACTGCTGCTTGCCAGAGCCTCCAATTTCTCATCTTCGTCACAGCGTTTCTGTGTGAAGATTTCACAGGAAGTTCTGCCAGATGTGGGTTCAAAGCTGTTCTTCCCTTCTCACTGTTTTTCTCCTTTTGCTTAGTCTTGAGGAAATTAGCAATAAGTTCCAATTCTTTGACTACCACTGCCCAGGCCCGTGATTCCTAGGTGAGGGTCTCTTTTGGAACCACAGTGAGGGCATCTCCAGATTCCTGATTCTGACTTGTCAGGGCACGGAGCGCTCTTGTCATGTGAGGATGGAAACACTTCCCCCACTCCTAGCTTAAGGTGGGTTTTCGGTAGGTTCTGAAGCAGGAAGATGACCTAAGAGGTAGGTCCTCTCCACATTGTCCCCAGCTTAACTCAGGTTGTCATTTGTACTCCTTGTCATAAAAAAATTTTACTAATATCATATCATATAATAAAAAAGATACAACCAGTACCCTACTATTTTAATACCGCTGTTAATTTATCTTGAAAAAAAAAATTTTCAAATTTGGAATTTTGAAGGGAAAAAAAATGCAAAAGTAGTACGGTGAATATTCATATATACCTGTTACCTAAATTTACCATTTGTTAATATTTTCTACATTTTTTTCTCTCTCTCCAAATGCTTTATAAAGTTATTTAAATTTCTAAACATTTTGTTTCCTTTCTGCTCTGTCCATATCTCTATATATTTATGCTGCTTCTAAGTTGCTTTGGAGTGTCATTCTGATTCACGGTAACTTCATGTATGTGGAACTGTGTCCATTGGGTTTTTCAGTACTAAATTTTTTTTAATAGATTTCCAGACCTTTCTTCCAAGTTATCTCTGAGCAAATCAAACCTTGGAGTTAACAGCCAAGAGCATTAACTCTTTTCACCGCCCAGGGATTCCTGGAAAAGCACAGTTTATGTTTTCATTATCTTCAGTTTTCATGTTCTCATTTGTTAAGGCCTATTTCTCCATTCTTTGATAGAGACTCTCACATTAAAGAACTCATTTGTTCAGCAAGTGAGTTTTCCTTTCAAACATGTGGATTTGGTTAGTTGGTTGGTTTTAAGCACCAACTATGCGTCGTGTACACATGCACAGTGGAGGAGGCTTCTTTGTTGATGAAGACTGGTGCATAAATGAGGAGATCCGATGGTGTAACTCCCAGCATGCTGCCCTGCTAAACCAAGTCTCTGGTGGTTCTAATCCACTAGCAGGAGGAAGAGGGGCAGGGTAGTCTCCTCCTTTGTGATGTACAACCTCAGAAATCCAATGGAGAAGCTCAGTGAGTCAAAACTCAATTCAACAACAGTGAGTTTGAGTTTTGAGTAAGTACACATAAGAGCTCTGGGTGTGTCAGTGGAATGAGGAAATGGAAAGAGAGAAAGAAGAGGTTGAAGGGAATTCAGGGGCAAAGATATTCCTGATAATAACCGCTATCAGCTCCCCTACAGGCAGGGCTCATGTGCTGTAGAAGCAATTATACAGCTATTGAACTTGTTGAGCTGATCCCAACCAGCAGTCAGGAAATCAAAAGACGAATTGCATTGGAAAAAATCTAATGGCAGGGACCTGAAATTGAAGAGCAGTGATGTCAGTCTGGAGACTAAGGTGTGCCTGATCCAGGCCAAGGTCTTTTCAGTTACTTACATGCATCAGAAAGCTGGACAAAGATAGGGATGATAGAAGGAGAATTGATGCTTTTGAGCTGTGGAGCTGGAAAAGAGTTTTGAATATACCATGGACTGCTAGAAGAACAAACAGGTTCATCCTGGAAAGGGTGAAACCAGGCTGCTTTTTGGAGGCAAGGATTCTGAAGCCTCATCTGACATACTTTGAACATGTTGCAAGGAGTGACCAGTCCTTGGAGAGGGACATCATGCTTGGGAGATTGAAGGGATAGTGCAAGAGAGGAAGACCCTAGATAAGATGGATTGACTCGGTGACTGGTATAATGGGGTAGGTGCTGGCACAAAATAGAGCAGAGTTCCTTTGTTTTCCTCAAGAAAAACTGGTGCATAGTATAAAAAGTCAAACATCAAATATGAAAAAAGCAAGTCTTAAGGTGTCTACTTTTTGGTACACTTCCCAGAAACAAGCACTTTTAACTATTTAAATGTTTGTCGTGTATATAAACCACTTTCTTAACTGGTTAGTTTCAAGAATTGGGTACCAATTTCCTGTGTTAAGGGTCTTTTTACACTTTCCCATTTCTAATTTTCGTAATATAGTTATGCTTAATTTGTTGTTGTTAAATCTTTATTATTTTAATTATTGTGTACTTACCACTGAGCTAAGGAGTTCACATTTGATTTCTGACACAGCTTTTTCTAGAGTTAACATTGTCTTCCCCCTTCTGTTCCTCTTTCTCCTCCTTTGTTTCTTCCTTTTTCTTTCTCATAACCATCAAGCAAACATACACATAGAAAACAAGGCAAAGCCGTTCACAAGTCCTGTTCGGTTTGCTGAGAAGCCAGTTCTCAGTTGAAGATAAACAGCCTTATATTTTGCATCTGTATTTTGAGAGAAGTGAGACAGAAAGCCTCAAGTCTCGTTCAGATCCTGAGCCCCTCATGACAACCTCTGTGGGGAGACCTGGAGGCAGGACAGAGATGGCCTCTGATGGTTCCTAACAAGCCTCCTGTCATTGTGTTCTTTGAGAAGCCACAGCATTCTGCCCAGGTTCAGTGCAGACCTGTACATATGTGGTCTCTGCTGGTGACGTGTTAGGTAGCCAGGGTGCCAGGGCAGCACTCCTATTCCCTCCTCCTCGCCTCACCCACCTGGTGGCCCTTGCACATTTGACCAAGTGTCTGTTAAAAGCATTGAACCCACACTCTTCTCCATGTGATCGCTTCTGCTTCATACTCTTCTCCACATGGTCAGCTGCACTTCTAGCCTTTCTTCCTAGAGCTGTGAGGCCTTCTGCCCTTCTGACCACCCTTTAGGTTTGCAGTGCAGTCTGGGCCTTTCCTGGCCTCAGTGTTGCCTCCATAGACATGTCCTCCTGGTAAGGACTCATATACTTCTCTAAGGAGGTATTCCAGTCCCACACCTGATGTGTGTATGTGTTTGCCTTTAGAGTATGTGAACTGGAAGAGTTGGGGGAACTGTCCCCTTGCTGGGAGAGCCTCCGGCGCCAAATTGTCACTCAGTATCAGACCATCATCCTCACCTACCAGGAGAACCTGACAGACCTCCATCAGTACAAAGGTGGGTGCTGGGGCTCCTCGTCAGCAGGGTTTGCATGCTCTCTGCTTTCCTATCTGGAAATCTGCAATCTAAGGCTCCTGAAATACCCTCACTGGTGTTATATTTTCAAGGTATGAACTTTTAGATTATAATTAAAAAGACACATCTGTGAGAACTGGACTCACAATTCCTTTCTTTGGTATCATCTATCAAACACTATAGAATGAAAATGAGCAGAGCCAACCTACAGTATGTCGACTCATGTTACTCATTCATCTCAGTCCACCAGCAGTGCACTGTTGACCAGGCTTTTATTGTTGAAGTAGAGTAGCTTTCTGAAGTTCTCATTTTAAACCCTTCATGGTGCTTGTATTGAACATACAAACGTATTTCTCACAGACTCCTGTGGTGTCAGACTCTAGAGAATCATCACTGGTGGCAAAATGCAAAGCAAACAAGTATTGATCTGCCTTTACTATGCTGGTAAAATTAATTTCCTGTTTATTTTTTTTTCTCACTGGATGGATTTTTTTTTAAAACTCTTGATTGTCAGTTTAATTTGTGAACCCTTTTCTAGGCATGATATTCTCCTTTTAATTAGTTATGAATTTTGATTATAGACATAGGACTGTGATACTTGTTATAAAACATCACTGCATTTCCTGCACCTGCTGCTGTTGGTGGTGTTGAGTTGGTTCTGACTCTTAGTGACCTCCATGTACAGTAGATGGAATCACTGCCCAGTCCTGCACCAGCCCCACTATCTGTGAGTCCATTATGGTAACCACCATGTCAGTCCATCTCATAAGGGTCTTCTTCCCCTTTTTTACTGACCTTCTCCTTTACTAAGCGTAATACTCTTCTCCAGGGACTAATCCCTCCTGATCACATGCTCAAAGTATGTGAAGTGAAATCTCATCATCCTCACTGCAAAAGAGCATTCTGGCTGTATTTCTTCCAAGACAGATTTGTTCGTTCTTTTGAAAGTCTGTAGCATATTCCGTATTCTTCTCCAACACCACGATTGAAAGGAATCAAGTATTTTGGTCTTCTTTGTTGCCTAACTTCGGCATGAATATGGGGCAATTGAAGATACCATGACTTGGGTCACACTTGCCTTAGTCCTCAAAGTGACATCGTCTCTAGCACTTTGTAAAGGTCTTTTGCAACAGGTTTGTCCACTGTAATATGGCATTTAATTTCCTGTATCTTCCATGGGTGTTGATTATGTATCCAGTTAATATGAAATTATTGACAAATGCAAACTTTTCTCCACTTTTAATGTTATTATTGGTCAAGATTTTTGTTTTCTTTATGTTGTGGTATAAATCCATAATGAAGGCTGAAGTCTTTGAACATCATTATTAAGTCCTTTTTGCTTTCAGTAGGAAGAGTTGTGTTATATGCATCTTGCAGATAGTTAATGTGCATTAATGCCATATTTTTCTTTACATGAACCAGTTTCTCAGATTATTTGCTTATTATACATATTGAATAAGAATGGTGAAAGGATACAGACCTAATGCATACCGTTCTGATTTTAAACCTCTTGATATCCTCTTATTCTTCCTTAGTCTATGTGAAGTCAACATGAGCATGTTGTTGTTGTTACATTCTGTGGAGTTGAGTACACCTCACTGTGACCCTATGAACAACAAATCTGAACCCTGTCTTGTCCTGGGCCATCCTCGTTATTTCTGCCATACTCAGGTCCATTACAGCAGTCACTGTGTCATTCCATCTGGTTGGCAGTCTTCCTTTCTTTTACCAGCCTTCCACCTTTCCAAGCATGATGTCCCTCTCCAAGGAATAGCCTCTCCTAGCAACATGTCCAAAGTGAGACAAAGCTTTGTCACCTTTACCTCCAAGGAGCCCTCCAACTGCACTTCTCCAAGATATATCTGTTCTTTTGGCAGTCCATGTACTGAACAAAATCTTTCGATTGTATAGATCATAACTGACTGTGCATAACATTGTGAAGAGATGGGCATTCCTGTGTGTGCCTGTAAAATAACCAAGCATGAACAAGGGAGCACATTTAAATTTGTATTCTTAAGGGCTAGAATGCATGCTTTTATAGAGTTTAGTCATCTCAACTTAGATTTGGGGTCATTTGCAGATTCTTTTCATTGCTTTTCAGAAATGAGATGAGTTGCTCCAGTTAAACCAATTGTGTAGATCTTGGATAATGGTAAATCTCGAGTTGGAACAGCCAGTTTCTGGCATGGACCCACTTGCTTTTTATAGTACTGCTGACATCATGCCGCACACCACCAGATCTTTGTGTCAGATCTCTCAGCAGAGATGGCTGAGTCATGGGCAAGAAAGGCACTGTTAACATAGTGATGCCAGTTCTACTAATAATGTTTCTTAAGCACTTAAGAGTACTCCTTAGAAGCAAAGATGGTGAGACTTGGCCTCACATACTTTGGGTATGTTATCAGAAGAGGCCAGTCCCTGGCAAAAGACATTATGTTTGGAAAAGTAAAAGGTCAGTGAAGAAGAGGAAGGCTCTGAAGTAGATGGACTGACACAGTGACAGCACCGGCGACCTAAGCACAGATTGAGGATGGCACAGGTTCTGGCTGGGTTTTATTCTGTAGTGTCATGAATGAGAGCCAGCTCAGCAGCACCTAACAACAACAAAAGCAAGCACCCAGAAGCAGTCTTCTTATCAATGAGCTGTGCTCCTTCAACATTTCATCCTCCTACCGTGTGTAAATGAGTTGTAGCTGGGAACAACTCAGAAATCTCTAGACCTCTCCCGGGACCTACTTATCTGTTTACATTCAGCAACGTCCTAAAAATGTCCTTTTTCTATTCCCATTCCGGTAGAAAGAATGAAGGTTGATGAACTTTTTTTTCTTCTTATATTTTATTTCTTAGGTCCCTCATTTAAAGCTAGCAGTTTGAAAGCAGATAAAAAGTTAGAATTTGTTCCCACGAACTTGCACATACAAAGAATGAGAGTTCAAGATGATGGAGGATCAGGTAACTGTTTTTGTCACCCTCTTGTTGAGTCCAAGTTTGTTATTATTTATTATTTCTGACATACTGGATACTTGGTTTCTGAGTCATTCCAGACATGTTCTTGGTATGTTCTTCTGCTGAGCATCTTGGATAAGAAAAATGTTATGAGGACTTTTGTTTAATATCACACACCAGCTTCCTTTTTATATTTCTCTGTCAGAAAGATATCAGTCACACTTCCAGAAGGGTTGTTTTATAGTTTTCTTCACCCCAGTGTGACTCTACCTTAAGACAAGTAGAACCTCTATTTGCTGAGATGATGGTTCTGGGCCCCAATAGGCTTTAAGGCAGCCCGAACTGTGGGATTAAGGGACAGTGGCCACTTGGAAAGGGCTGGTGAGGCAGGATTCTAGACTTGTGTGCATATCCCTGTAGCTGGCTTGTCCACAGGCCTGAGCCCAGAGTAATGGAGGAGAGCTTTCTGTCATTCAGATCAGAACTACGACATCGTCACCATCGGAGCCCCAGCGGCACACTGCCAAGGCTTTAAGTCAGGAGGTCTTCGCAAAAAGCTGCACAAATTTGAGGAGACTAAAAAACAGTAAGTAGCTGGGAGAGGTGTGTGGTCTTCAGTCAACTGTCTGATGCTTCCCTGATTTAAAAAAATAATAAAAATATGGCTGTGATAACATCCAGCTGTTCTGATCGGCTTTGGCGTGGTGGAAGAAGCTTTATTCTACAGCCTGTGCTACTGTGTGTAAGGTGTGGTGTGTGTTACTAAGCCGGCTAAGTGATGAAAACACCTAGTTAGGGATTCTTCCTTCCAACATTAGAAGCATGTTATTCTCCCTTTAAGGTGATACTACAGGCAGTTACTCTGGGTGGACCCTCCATTGGTCTGGCCGTCGTTAGACTTCATAATCAATCAGTTGAACCTATCATAGTGTAAAGCCTTGAGCAGATTGTTTTCCAAAAGGACAGCAGTCTAACAAGCGTTTAGTGTGTAATAAACATTCCTAATTTCAAAATGATTCAGTAGGCGGCATTGAGATAGTGTCTTTTGCAGGAATTTACTGTATGGGAAAGAGGGGAAGGGCATTTCAGAACAAGGAGACGGCATAGGCAGTGGTATACAGTGAGATGAAGCGAGGTGTGTAATTCCTGTGGACAAGGAGCTGATGACAAAATAGCTTCACTATCAGTCTTTTCTGTGCTGCGGTGTGTGCTGGTGACCAGAGACACAATGTCAACAGATTCAGCCCTGATGCCACTCAGGACTGAGACTGTGAAACAGAGAAGTCAACAAGCATGCTTGTTGCCAGAAAACTAACTTATAAAAGGTGCTATGATAGGACAAGAGACAGAGCATCAAAACAACTCAGACCACTGAGTCTACGCTGTTGCACTGGACACCCGGGAAGCACTGATGTTCTTTAGATGTCACCGTCAAGATAGGGAAGGGTCAACGGCTATGTCTTAAGTTGGATTCTCTAGATAATCAAAACAAATGCAGCTTATATATCTATATGGTTATATCAGTATCTTTCTGTCTATATCTATATATATATACACACACAAACAGAGACAGAGAAAAAGTAGTTATCTGAAGGAAATGGCTTTTGTAGTTGTAGAGGCTTGCAAGTCCTAAATCCATAGATTAGACGTCAGAATATAAATCTTCTCCTGAGTTACCCAACTACCTGTACTGAGTAACACAAAATTGGCAGATCAAGTGGCAGGCTGCTGGCTTTGAAACCAACAAATCCAAGAACAGCAGGGACTATGGCAGACTGCTGGCTCAAGTCCAAAAAACTGGAGATTACCTTGTCATAAGCCACATGGAGGATCCTAATCAAGCAAAAACCAAGATAATGTTGCTGAACATATATATATATATTTCATGCAGGCCACACCCTTAAGAAAACTCCCTTTCAACTAATTGGCTGTTCATAGAACATCTCATCATGGAGGTTATCGCATTATATCAGATCTCATCAAGTAAACACATGTTAACTGCTAAACCAGAGGATCATAGACAGCCAAGTTGATAAACAGCCTTAACCATCAAAGGGTGTAAGAAGTGGAGTCAATGAGTGTAAATGATACTATGTTGTTGTTGTTATGTGCTGTCGAGTTGTTTGCGACTCATAGCGACCCTATGCACAACAGTCCTAAACCCTGCTCTATCCTGTGCCAACCGCACTGCCTCTGACATACCCATCCCAATTACCCCAGTCACTGAATCAATCCATCTCATAGAGGGTCTTCCCCTCCTGCACCATGCCTCCACCCTCCCAAGCATGATGTCCCTCTCCAAGGACCCGTCCCTCCTGGCAACATGTCCAAAGTATGTCAGACGAAGCCCCAGAATCCTTGCTTCTAAGGAGTAGCTTGGTTTAATCCTCTCCAAGATGAATCTGTTTGTTTTCCTGGCAGTGCATGGTACATTCAGTACTCTTCTCCAGCACCACAGCTCAAAGGCATCAACTCTCCTTCTGTCCTCCCTAGTCATTGTCCAGCTCTCTGATGCATAACAAGCGATTGCAAAGACCATGGCCTGTATCAGGCGCACCTTAATCTCCAGAGAGACACCGTTTCTCTTGAATACTTTAGAGAGGTCCCTAACAGCAGACTTTCCCATCGCGATATGCTTTTTGATTTCCTGACTGCTGGTGCCAAGAGTGTTGACTGTGGAGCCGAGCAAACTGAAGCTGTGAACAATCTCAGTCTCTTCGCCATCCATCCTGATACTGCCAACTGGTCCAGTGGTGAGAATCTTTGTCTTATTGACATTGAGCCTCAGTCCATATTGAAGGCTGCAGTCCTTGACCCTCAGCAGTAAGTGCATGAGGTCCTCCTCAGTTTCAGCGAGCAAGGTTGTGTCATCTGCATAACGCAGATTGTTGATAGATCATCCACCAATCCTAACGCCACGCCTCTCCTCATAGAGCCCAGCCTCTCGGATAATCTGCTCTGCATACAGGTTGAAAAGGTATGGAGACAGGACACATCCCTGACGTACACCCTTCCCAATTTTGAACCATGCAGTGTTACCCTGCTCTGTTCTGACGACTGCCTCTTGGTCCAAGTATAGGTTTCGCATTAGCACGATTAAATGTTCTGGGATTCTCATTCTTCTCAGAGTCAGCCACAGTTAGTTATGATCCACACAGTCAAATGCCTTTGCATAATCAATGAAACACAGATAGACATTCTTCTGGTAATCCTTGCTTTCAGCCAACATCCATCTAACATCAGCAACAATATCCCTAGTACCACGACCCCTTCTAAACCCAGCCTGGTACTATAGGAGCCTTGAAATATGAAACAAGGAATGACGTTCTTAGATCTCAAAAGAATAATTATGACTTAAGATTTGTTTAAGCTAACAAAACTCAATCGAATCAGATGAGTTAGGGGAGAAGAGAACATTGATGGAGTATGGTTTGGAAATGATGGAACACAGGAGAGCAAGATAATTCTAGATGAGACAAGAGAAGAAGATGGGACACAGAGAGATTTTGGAATAAGGAGAAGTAAGCCAAAGGTATTCATGGAAAAGCTTTGGCAGAAAGTGGAGTTGAAAGAGTTGGAGTTATCCACTGAGGATGATGAAACCAATGTCCAGGGCAGGTCAAATTAACCTGGCTGGGTGGTGAGATAGAGAGATCTGGTATGCATTACAGCCAGTAGACCACTGCTTGACTGTGCTGCTGTGGCCAGCTGTCAGGATGTGACTTGAGAAAATATACCACGACTGGATCCTGGAGGAGACGAGTAAAAGGTCTAATGCAGTGGTTGGTCACTGGATTGAGGCGATCAAGAGTGCAACCAGGACCATCATTGACCATGGGATAAGGTGGGATGGGGAACAGATGTGTGAAAGAGAGTTCCACATGGGACATTGCTTAGATTGGTGGGATCCTGCCACAGACAAGTCAGGCAGGCAGAAGAAGGGACTCTGGTTAGGAGGAGGAATGCCAGCCTGTAGGGCCAGGAAGCCCTTAGATAGAGACGCAGCACTGAAGACAGATCCCAGGGACACTCCCAGGGGTCTGCTTGGATTCATTCTCACCATGTACATCCAAGAGCATGTCCCCAAGCAGACAAATTATGCAGTTTTTTACTAATTTCAGGATTTCTGGGACTATAAAAAGACTAGGAAACTCCTGTCCCACCACACCTCTGCATAGCCAGCCAGAATGCGTGTGTGTCTGTAGCACCACTGCATGTTGCTGTGTGGAAAGCATGATTGTGATTTCAAGGTGCTTCTGGGGTCATGCTCCCCTGGGACCCTGAAGGAGAAGGTCCATTAATTCTGCAGGTAGTCGGTCAAGAAATGAAGCCACCCAACTTTCCACATCCTATGAAGGCTGGACGTGTCAATACGTGAGGACTACAGATTAAAAACATTGCACAGCTTATCTCCCCAAATGCCTCTTTGATCCTTTTCAAATATGTAATACAAATTTTTATTTCTTTCCGATGGCTGTAGATAAAGTTTTCATTATTTAAACTTTCCTTTAAATGCATATGTAACTTGCCTACCCTTGTTATACCCCTGAGTGCTGATGCGCTATGGAGTAAGCCTTTCTGGCTGTTTATAAATGAAATCATCCCTGTGGTCAGAACATGAAAAATCATCTTCAGTATCTTGACAAGAAAAAAAAATCACTTGGCTTTTGCTTTGTTTTTTTCTCTTTGCGTGTGGTATTTGTGGACAAGCTGCTAATATTTCATTTTGGTTCTTTTCTGTAGCAGTTTTGAGGAGAGTTGGTGAGTTTTCTGTCCGTGGAGAGAGTGTCTGTTGAGTCTTTGCTCTCATTCAGAGAAAGCCCATGCTGTCCTCTCCCTGGGCAGTGCCCTGCCTCAATGTGGTGTTGCTGTGTAGACAGAACTCTCCCTTCCAACTGCAATATTCTTTGATAATGAATAGTCAATCTCTAACCTGCTGTCTCACCTCTAAAACATGGCATCTTTCTGTTGTGGAGTCTGCTCAAGAGATCCCCTCCTGTTCCTCTGGATGGGGAAGATTCCAGGTTCAGAAAGTCCTCCTGGTCTATGGCAGTGTAAGCCAGCATTGGCATAGCTGGAAATTCCTTTTTGTTTTCCTTTAAAATATTCTAAGAATTTTCGTTTTTCATATCACCATCAACTCTTCTCTGTATGACCAGAACAAACAAAAACTAAACCCACTGTCATCAGGTCTCTTCTGACACATTAGCAGACCTGGAGGACAAAGTCTCAGTGATTCCAGGGCTGTAAGTCTTTATGGAAGCAGTGAATTTGAAGTGCCAGCCTGTTGGTTAACAGCCAAGTAGTTACTCTACCACCAGGGGTTTTCTATATAACTGAAGTCAGCTTCTATTTCATGATAATTGGTAATTAATGCACTCTTTTAAACCATTGTTACCAGGGTCATTTGTACCCCTAGAGAACAACCAAGAAACCAGTCTAGTAAAGTGATTTTTTCCACACACCCCCAACCCCCCACCAACCAATCAGACAGAGTAGGGCTTCCCATTGCTGCCTTAGGCCCTCTCCAGGAAGGTCCAGAGCTCCAAGTCTGTTGTTTTGACTTTATCTAATGACAGACCCTGCCAGCATTTCTAGCTCTTCAAGAATTTCTGCTGCATTGGAACTTTTGAAGGGAGCCCTGGCGGTGTAGTCTGTAGGAAATCATGCAACTAACCTAAAAAGCAGCACTTCTCTGTTAGTTCAAATCCCCGTCAGCAGCTCTGTAGTTGAAAGATGGACAATCTCGCATGTGACTGCAACCTCTGAAAAGGAGGGTCAGCTATGAGTAAGTTCCAACTTGATGTTCCCACTGTGGTCTGCTCCATTTGTTGTAAGACAAATGGAGCATCATCTGAGAAGATGATTCTAGGGGCCACTGGGACATGGGCAAAGAGACAAGGAAGTCCGCGCAAAGGCCAGGTATCCCCTTTGGTAAAAATCAGCCCAGATGCGGTTGACTAAACTTCCATCTGGAAAGTTCCTGGGAATTAACCTTCCTCAGATTTCCTCTTTGGTGACTCTTAAAAGACTTTCCATAGCCGATCTGGGCTTATTTGCCTCCTGAATACATACACAAGGTACACCAGAGACAGATAAAGGATGGAGGTCACTGGGTTATAAGCAGAGAGTTTTTTGCTACCGGGAGAATGTCAGGGATTAGATCCCAGGCTGAGGGTTCCCCGACCTCTTAATCCTTCTACCTTATGTGGAACTACTATCCCCCAGCTTCAGACACTGCAGAAACAATCCCATTTTCTATATAATGTCCAGAGTCACTGCTGCCTGTGAGATCCCCGCCATGCCTGTGACCAGCAGATTCCATCCCTAAGCTCGCCCTTCCTCCTTTTCTGTAGTGAATCAGTGGATGTAGGGCAGGAGCCTGATGCAAGATCTACAGACTGTACTTAGGAAACTGCCTCCAGGGATTCTCAGGGGTCAGTCCACTTGAGTAGAAGATGCTAGAGAAACACAGGATAGGTGGTGGACCTGACAGTCTCTCCTGGAATTAAGACCTCCTGAAAGTACATGTATTTCAGAATAGTGACATATCTGCAACCCTTGTACTGCCTCCTTCTTACAGCTGCCCTGCTTTTAAAAATAGATGGTTGAGCACCATTGCTTCATAATCATCCAAATTCTAAATATTTAGAATTCATAATCCTCTCTTAGCACCATTTTCTGAAATGGACTCTCTCACCCCTCATATATTTCATATACTTTAAAACCCAGATTATTACTAGTAGAACAGGACGAGCACAGGATGCTATTTTTCTCTTTCCATTTTGGGGGAGGAGTTTGTATTTGTTGAAGTATCCACAGCCATCTAGATACATACACAATATTTGCAAACATAGTTTACAGATGTACTCTAAATATTTAGGAGGACTCAATTTTCTAAAATTTTCCTTTGAGATTGTATCTTGTAAACAAAATTGTCTTAAATGGCAGCTATTCATTTGGAAGAGTGATTGCAGGTTGGAAGGTTTGCTGCGTGCACATTGCTATGATGACACTCATCTTAGTGGGCAGGCTTGACCGCAGTTGGCTGCATGAGCTTTGGGCAAACCCATTGTCCCCTATTGTGGCATTGTGAATTCGTGGTGTGTTTTTTATTTCTGGGGTGTTTTGGTTTTTGGTGTTTGCATGTTCGTCCCAGAGTCTTAACAAAGAACAGGGCAATTGCCTTTGTGCCCCCTTGATAAAGGCCGAGTGGGAAAGGTACACAGTCCTGACTCTAGAGACCCTCATCTCTAGGAGAAGTGACAGAGCGTGCTAAAAGACACCTTCCATCCCTCCCTTTCTCTCTTGTCCCAAAAACACTTTGGAAACTCCTCCTTTCTTTCCTTCTACTCAAGAGTCCACCGATTCAAACTTTTAGGAGGAAACTTCCATATTGGTGGCTTGCACTTCTCCTTCCTGCTTTCATTGGCTCCCTCAAATGGTCTTAGCAATAAATTGATAATTTTGAATTTGTTTGGAATCTTATGCTAAGTACCATATTACCTCCATCTACTAGGGCCAGACATGCCCACCAGGTGCCATGTATCTGAAGGGTATGGGATTGGTTCTCCAGAAGCTCCTTCTTGGAGCTGAGCCATGGCTTTGCCACCAGATCCCTAGACACAAATGCTGCTTGGTGGTGAGAGGTTGAGGGGGGATACAGAAAGCTAGTGTTGGGATGATCTTTGATTTGTTGCTTTCTCCACATCTTCATCTGATGGAATATAACTTTTCAAAGTCTAGAAGTTCTGGAGCAAAGGAGAAGGCACAGGAAGCCCAGTTTTCTGGAGGTGGAGTGGCATCAACTATGTAGAGGAGGAGAGCTGTGGCTATTTCAACAGAAATCAGCACCCACTGCAGTGTGTCTACCTTCATGGCAATAAATTTGCCAATAAGTTTGCCCTTTCTCTTCTAAGTCAACAACACTATGTTCCCATTGAAGAATTATTTACAGATTGACAGATAAGTTCTTAGATGAAAGATTATTAGTGTTTGGGTTATTCTTAAGTATGATTATGCAACACTGAAGCATACACAAATGACACAAATACAGATCCGTACAAACAGAAATAAAATATTTAATATTTATATTTCAATATTTCAAGCTTCAATATAGAAAACAAGCATCCCCTAAAATTTGCTTTTACCTATCAATAATTAAACTATCTAGGGAAATCTCTTTGAGGAGCAGGGTGCATTGTTTTAGTGCTAGTTGTGGTGGTGGGGTGGGAAAATGTTGAATCATTCAAGAGAGCCTCTTAGACCCTGTTCTTATTCTCTCCAGTAGTACTTCATCCATCTGCCAGTCCATCATCTACATCCCACAGGACATCGTCCGAGCAAAGGAGATTATTGCCCAGATCAACACCCTGAAAACCCAAGTTAGTTACTATGCAGAGCGGCTCTCGAGGGCCGCAAAGGACAGGTCTGCCACTGGCCTCGAAAGGACACTTGCCATCTTAGCAGATAAGGTAGGATGGCTGCCTCTCCAGGTGGTGGGCGGGGAGGTTCTCTGGATTGCTAGAAGCCACTAGATAGTCAACAGTAGCCCAAGTGTGCTTAGAGCTGTCTACACAGAAGGTGGGTGTTAAAATGACCTTGAAAATCTAGCTTCGGGTCCAAGAAGGTTCAGTGATTCTTAATGGCCACAGAACTAGGTGGGAACATGTGAAAGCTAGAGTCCAAGACACTCAGCTATCAGGCAAGTCCAATGGCGCCATTTTTCTTTTATAGATTGCTCTACACTGTTCTGAGTAATCTGTTCACGGCAGATTTTTTGAGGCATTTCTGTTGTATAAAAATTTGGTACATGATATGACAAAAATAAGCAAATATTTTCTACAAACACAGAAATGATGCTATTTTATTTAATTCTAAGTGATCGATAAACTAGCGTCAAGTAACCCTAGTTGTGTAATAGTTAAGTGCTTGGCTGCTCAGTGCAAGGTCAGTGGTTCAGACTCCAAGCTGCTCCATGGAAGAACACTCCTGGCAATCTGTTCCTATGAAAATGACAGCTGAGAAAACTGTGGAGGCTTGAGTAAGAATCTGATTGAAGTCAGACAACAACAGCTATATAATGATCAAGATTCCTTCTGTCTCCACAGTCTCTTTAGTGGATAGCCTGGATGCATCCAATTCTGATTTAATGTTAATTCAGTAATAAAAAATAACAAAAGAAACCTCTCTTTTAAGTAACCCTTTTTGGAACCTGATTAAAACTATATAAATACTGGTCCATGATGAGATTCGGACACACCAGACCCTTTTGGTGATGTTTTTTCAAACTCCAGTTACTCAGCCTCAACACATAACCACTCACACTGTAACACACCCGTGTACACTGAGACACATTACACCTCAACACTCACACCTGCTGCTTGGGGTATCCTGGATCCAAATGTAATCTATTTTCAAGTGTGTGAACACAGCACAACTATTGATGGCCAGAGATTAGATTCACATGGAAACAAAAACCACTGCTTTCAGAAGTAGAATTACACCCCTAAGAGCCCCTGAATCACACTGAAGCAAAATTAGCCTGCCAGGGATCTGGTTGCCTAGAGTCCAGGGCTTCAAGTATCAGATGCTGAGGTACAGAGAGATCAGATTGAAATGTAGAGAGCCACCCACTTGGTTGACAAAGGAGGAGATCACTGGGCATCCCTTTAGGCCTGGGCGGGAGGGTGGGGGGGACAATCACAAGAGTGGCAGAGATGATCAATCTTCTTGGTGGACATAATTTTTTATGTGTGAAATCATTCATATCAGAATACATCAACTTAAGAGTTTGTACATGTATTCAGTGACAATCACAGTTTTCAAGTTGTGCACACATTTTCACTATCTTTTCCCAAATTAGATATCCTTTAAGATAGACTCATTGTCCTTTGCAATTCTCAACTGGTCTTTCAGGTTACTATTGTCACTTTAATCCCAAAAATAATTCTTTAAAAAGCACAGTGCTCAAGGCAGTCATTCTTTACAACTTAAATGAAACTATTTGATTTAAAGATTAAAGGATAATTTATGTTTAAGATTTGATGTTTATCTCAAGGTTATAATTTCAGGAGTTCATCCAGCTTCAGTGGTTTCAGAAAGTCTAGAATCCATGAGGATTTGAAATTCTGATTCCCATTTTCTGGCCTTTGATCGGAATTCTTCTAGAGAATCTTTTATCAAACCCTTTAGTTGTGGTATTTCATGACAAGGATAGTTGTCGTGGAGCAGTTAGACATAAGTTCCAGTTCTTCCACTGATTCTTCATCCTCCTTTACCCTCTGATGTTCCAAGTGAGAAAGTTGGCAGAGATTCTTAATACTATTAAATCCAGGCCACCATGGGCAGAGTACCTTTAAACTCAGACATTCTGGGTGATAAAATCATTAGATGTTTGCACCATGGAGAAGGGCAGAAAGTAGGAATACTGAATTTCATGCCAGAGCTCTGTCTCTAAGACAAGGCCAAATTGTAAGTCCTTTGCTGGGGGAGCTCAGTAACCATCTCTGTATTTTCCTGTAGACCCGACAGCTAGTCACAGTCTGTGACTGCAAGCTTCTGGCCAACTCAATCCATGGGCTGAACGCTGCTCGGCCTGACTACATTGCCTCCAAAGCTTCTCCCACTTCAACTGAAGAGGAACACGTGATGCTCCGAAATGACCAGGACACCCTTATGGCCAGGTGGACAGGGAGGAACAGCCGATCTTCTCTGCAAGTGGACTGGCATGAGGAGGAGTGGGTGAGTCTGTTGCCCGAGGCCCTTTTGCTATACACTCAAGTTGACAAATAAGAAGACTGTAGCCAGTCTCCTCCCATGGGGACTGCTAAGAGGATTGGCTTTTTTAAGAACAAAGCTCAGAGTTCCCTTTCTAGGGGGAAAACTCTCTTTTCAGGCCTTCTGTGCCCAGCTTAGGAGCAGGACTGCGGCGGGTAGGTCTGGCTTAGATGTGACTGTCAAAGAGATGGATATTTTTTTCCTCTACCCTTATTACCCTTTGCCTTTTTGGAGATCATCCAAGCCTCTCCTGTTTCCTCAGTGCCCTTCCCATAGTCAGCCCACCAATGTGTGTTTGGGTCAGTGTTCCCAGAGATTATGAGCTCAGGTGTTGGGAGGTGGGATGAAAGAGAAGGAAGATACTTGAGAGACTGTCTCCCTAAAGTGCGTCCTATTCTTTAGCTCTAAGAGTACAATGTGTCTCTCTAAGAAATGTCATGTAGATAATAAACACATAGAACTGATTCACATAGAACTGATTTGGTCATTCCTTGGGACTATAGTTTAGCCACATTATGCCTTGAAGCGAAGAATTATAAATCTACAGCAAAATGGTCCTTCACTGTCAGCACCACCTTACCACCTCTCCACCTTCTGGAAGCCAGATGAGAATAAAAAAGGAATCTCAGACTTGTGTGTGCATAGGCATATGTGTGAGAGATTTGTAGGGCTACAGCAGGCAGAGTTGTGGACAAGACTGGCTCCCTCTGCTCTGTGACCCTTTCTGCCCATGTTGGAAGGTACACAGAAGTCCCATCTGGCCTTATGACAGCCACTACAAACATCTCCCAAATATTCTAAACAGTGGCCACAGTACTGCTTTGATTTGTGCTTTGAAAGCAAACTCACCTGTGATGGGGAATTATGAACCATCTTAGTATCTCTGTCTTGTGTTGTAATGAATACAGTGGCCAAGGCTGGGTGGAGGGAATTGGTTTGTGTTCTGTTTTTTGTTTTTGTTTTCCATTGGAGACCCAAATGGGCCCTTTTGCTTGGAAGGAGAAAGTGTGGCTCAATGTCGACAAGAGCCTGGAGTGCATCATTCAGCGGGTAGACAAGCTGCTGCAGAAGGAGCGCCTGCCGAGTGAGGGCTGTGAGGATGACTTACCCTGTGCTGCCAACTGCCCCAGCAAGAAAGGTAACCGGCGTAGCCGCGCCTACTGGATCAGACCGGAGGATCCCTTCTGCGATGTCCCCTCCTTACCATCATGCCCCTCCACCACGCCCTCTGCTGCATGCCACCCTCACCTGACCACACGTGCGTATGCATCCATGCTTCTCACCTGCCGCCTCTACCTCATGCTGCTCCACTTCTGTCCATGTGTGTTTCTGACTCCATGAACCTCTCCCCGAATGCAGACTGCCTGGAGGGCTGGGTAGGGTGTTGCAGCATACCTAGCAGCAGGCAGTGGGGGCCTCTCTGTGCATCTGTGTGCACCTGATCAGGGCATTCCTGTGTCCCCTCTCATAGCAGTGAGGGTACATCTCCTGGACTTTTCATGTTTTTAAACCAATCTGAGATCCTGAAAGAGACCTGGATGCAGAAGAATTCCTATGGAGGCTCTTTATTGTATTAAGAGTTAGCAGAACGAAGGAAAGAATAAGTATACTTGACGTAGCTGGAGAAGTGTGCCCAGGCACACTGACTTGTTGGAAGACTGGCTATCACTTAACAAGGCATGTTTTTATCTAGAAGGGACATGTGGTATCAGGACTTGTTAATGACCTAGTCAAATGATGGAACATTTCTGTGCTTCAAGGGGTCTGAGTTTTCCTCTGTTGAGCATTACCATCCAAAAAGACTTGGCCTGAGCACACACTTCAGAAGCAGGCTTTGTGTTCATCACTCCTGACCCCAAGTTCATCAGTGCTGAACTCTCAGAACAAGCAGGTTCTTGGTTCCTACAATTCAATCTTCTGTAATAAGTGGAGAGGGTTGTGGGGCATACAGCGGGACTGGGACAGACTAGCTTTTGCTCCTTATTTGCTCTCTTTTAGGAGTTTTAAGTTGTAGAAAGTAAAGCCCAGATGTAACCATATGGGTTTTCAAATCCTCAGTTAGGAGAGTTTCACTGAAGGTGGTGGCCTGCTCCTTTATCATGAGAGCCTCTTGATAACTCCTCCTTCCATTTGTAACACACCCTCTACTTTTCTGGTCTACCTGCAGTCTGTTTTCAGGGTAGCATTTCATCTGAGCCTTTGTTGCAATAGTATTCATGTTCTGTACTCTTGCCATCTGCTGGGGATTGTAGCTTATCTACCCCCAAACCTGTAACTGGCTCATGGAGCTATTTTGTCTCTACTTATGATGCATTTCTGTATGTCAGCTGTGTTTCCTTCTAAACTTCGTCAGTGTTCATTACTCATTTCTCTTTACTGTTGTCTTATTTGTAATTTCAAAATTCTTCTGAAGATATATAATAGATATATAATGAATAATTTAATGGATTCTGTTTTAAATGCAGCAGGTGGTTTGTTTAATCAGATGACACTGCATATTTCTAATTGAAATATAATTTTTAAAGGCACATTCTGTATTTATACAAACATAGAAGCATTTATCTGCAGATTGAAAGTTATTTACATGAGTTTATATTTATGCTGTTTAGGGCTTGATGTGTATACAGTTGCTTATGTCCTGAAAATTAACTCTCTTGTGATGATGGGAATATGAAGCTGATATTTGGGAGACTCCGGCTCTGCTGCTGATCAGTATAGAGAGTTATATGAAAATATAAGCCACTAAATTAACTCCAGAAGATCAGTCATATAAAAATTTTCACTTTTGCGAGAAGCCATCTAACCTCAATGAGATTATGAGGGTAAGAAAGAACCAGATATGTCAACTTTTTAATTGGTCAAGTCCTTGGCCTCCCCAGACTTTGGCTTTGTTGAGACTGTTTATACTATCCTAAGTTACTGCAGAAATTGTTTTTGCTTAATGCATCAGTTATATTCACACAATGTTTATTTTGTACAAGAAGATCCATCCCTTTTGGAAAGGCCAGGCCATCATCACTTTTCAGTTTTAGTCTCTATCCTCTCCTGGAGTCTTGATTTTCATCTCTCACCAGTGAGCACATAGGACCAGAGCACTGTGGAGCCCTGCTGACAAGTCTCTGCTACCTACAACCTCAGAAGTCCCTTAAGCCTCTATTCCCTTACCTGGTTTTCCCACAACAGCCTCTACTATGCCTTTACCACTTGCCAAGGTACATCTCCATTGTCCTATCTAGTCCCATTGCCTTCTTCAGACACACGTTCATCCTCTCTTTGTACCCAAAATGTCAAACACTAGAACAGGGTTTTCTTTAACCTGGGTCTATAAATGCACCCCAGTGTCATGTGCTTTTGAGATTTTTATGTTAAATTTAGAGAAAACTCATAATAATGGGAATCAAATCTCAAAGAACTCTATGACCAAAATAGAGTTGCAACTGCTGGTCCAGGAGATCCCAAAGAGACCTTTTCTCTCATTTTTGATTGAAAGATTCACTTATGCCTTCACAGAAATGGCCCCTGCCCAGCTGTGTGAGATCACTCTAAAAGCTCATAGAAACAAGCTTCTAGATTTTCTTCCTCTTTAATAGACTCAGCATGCAGAGGAAGGAGTTACGGGAATATACAATGCGCAAATCTTTTTCTGCCCCCCTCCCCCCACCCAAGGCCCAGGTTAATGCTGATTTGCCAGACAAATGTTTAAGAATCTTTGTCTTATGTCACTCGACACCACTGTGGATTTCTATTAGGTAGACAGTCTCAAGACAGTCAGGTTAGAACAAAGAGGTTGGAGTCTTCCATTTACAGAAACCTTGAATTTTTCTTCACGTTTCCACCTTTTTTTGCCAGTTTACAAAGCCAATTCAGGGCTGATTAGAAGTAACCCACTTGCCTCCTCCTTCTGTATAATTGAGGTTCTAAGTGGTCTCCCTGCCCACCTGCACATGGAGAACTCTTCCACCCCTGGAGGAGAAGCCAGCCACAGGGAGCATGTTCACACTGTGAAAGGATCCCCAAAAGTCTCCTGAGGACTGGCTTCTCAGAAGAAGTGTCCAGGAGGCTGATTTTGGCTGTTCTTTCTTTTTTTTTTTAACCTCATTTCAGTACACTGGTGACATTTTTTTATCAAAAAAGTTGAGAAATTTTTTCCAAAAGGTCTCTTTTTAAATTTACTTTCCTTCAGGTATAACAAAGTAAATAAGTTTTTGTTGTCTTAATTTGTGTTCTTTTAAACTCAGTTTTGAAGGGAAGTATACAGTTGAAATGACTATGTTCTACAAAGTGACTCTATGAGTGAAATTAAAATAATATTCTTTGAGAAACCTGGAAGGGTATTTTCATTCCAAACTTCCCTCAGGTCAAAGGAGTTTCATATCTGGTTCCAACTTTGAGTACTGGAGTAGATTTATTTGGCATATGTATTTGGTTTCATCAGTGGATCTTAAATATTGGCATCTCAACAGTCAGCCTTTCAGACAGTGGGCTTTGGAATATGAGTTCTCAATATACTGGTCAGTCTCTCTCATGTCAAGTTTGCCTCTTGATGTTGTGAGCCAACATGAACTCTGCCATATACAATGTGACTCTCAGGTACGCTTTCTCCTGAGGCATTTATCACATTGTACTATGTTAGCTTGCTCATTCTGAAGAGCATTTGATGTTGAAGTATTAGCAACATGAATGCTCGCACTGGTGAATCGCCAACTGTTGTGCCACCAGGTGGGCTCAGCTGTCTCGGAGCAGCCGAGCACCTCCGTATGACTCTTGGTGAAGAGGCACACAGGCATCCAAGCCTCTTTGCTGTAGCCACCTTACTGCAAGCTGCATATGCAGTTGCTCTAAGTGTTGAGTTGTTCATGTTTGAACTGTGTTGCTGCTTCTTAACCATCCGTGTCGCCCTCCATTTCTGTGCAGATTGCAGCCCCCCTCCAGAAGAGTCCAGCCCAGGTACGTGCTTTCATCCAAGGCTTCTGCAGGTTCCTTTTTATTGTTCAAGGAGTGCCTATAACCAAAGTGTCAAAGGAGGTCTTCTACTCTTTGAGGTAGAAAAACGTTTTAAGAAATTCTTCATTGTATGAAATAGAACAGCTTTTCTTAGGTCTGGTGATGAACTAGCTATGAGGTGAGGGACCAACAGTGTTGTGAGGCAGGCTGTCACTTGAATATTGTTTCTATTTTTACAACCTAAAGCAGTCTCTGATGATTAGTGTCCATGCGTGCAATAAGCTGTCTAAGCAGGTGATCTGTTTAGAGAAGTGCCTATTTGTAAGTATACATCGTGTACTTGTAACTGAACTTGTGAACATTACATTGAAAGGGTACATATTACAGTTAGTATATATTCACCCAGATGTTCTGTGTGATCATACTGTGTAAGCTCTTCACCAGCCTCAGATCCCCAGTGACTTCGTTTGATAAAAATCTTTGTTTTAGATAAAAATCTCATTACTGACCATAAAATAAACTTTGTTTGGAAGTTGTTGTTGTTGTCGTTGGCTTCTCTTCATAGTGCCTGAAAATGTCTTACCCTCCAACTTCTATTCTCTACTTATCAGAAGCAATTAGCTTGATGTAATAGAAATAATAAGACCTTTACAGTCAGACAGACATGCCAGTTCTTTTTGTTTCTTTGGGGAAGGCACCTCTCTGACCCTAGTTTTTTATCTGTGTTAATAATCCTGTGTCTGTGGACTAAATGAGGAAATAGGGGGAAAGTAAGTGGATGTTGCAGAAATAGTAATTGAGCCCTAGAGCCATTTAGACTCATCTGAGCCCTTGTCCAGGCAGACAGCAGCCTCCCCTCCTGCCCAGATCCACATCGCCTTTTCAAGACAAGCGTCAGCATGCTTTTTAACCACTTCTCTTTTACTCTGCTGAGTTATAAGCAACTTGTAACTGACCTTGCAGCAGGTTTCCAAGCTTGTAAACCCCAAAGGAGAAAGGAGACTGCCCATCTTTCTCCTGAAGAGCAGAGCTGCCAGAGAAGAGCTACTCTTGCGTTAGCAGCTTGAGAAGTACATTTCAAGGACATGGATTGACACAGTGACTGCAGCAATGAACTTGCACTTAATTGACGATGGCACAGAGCAGGGCTAGGTTCTGATCTGTTGTTCACCAAGTTGTAGTTGCACCTAATAGCAACTTGTACTTCATTTTACACATTTTAGAAATTTTACAAAACTGAATAACTATTTTATGAATTTTTTTTAAAATGAGAACTGGGTTAAGTAAAAGATTATATGACAGAGACATTCTTAGTCAAATAAAATCAATTATAAATGATGGCATTTTCAGGTTAAAATTATCATAATTTGCATATTAGTTACATATGCATGTGCATGTTACACGGAAAAGCAAAGAAAGGTCTGGCAACAGTTGTTCTTAGAGCTTTTGCTTCTTAGTTAAGAGTAATTAATTCTAATGTCTGTCTACCTTTCCCTAAGTTGTTTACTATTAAAACTTAATTGCCATTTTCCCTTTTTGATAATTGCTGAATGTCAATGACATAAATTAAAAAAAATGGGTTATTTGAAGAAACAAAAGCATGATCTCAGATTCTTGAGGGAGAAGGAGACTTGGGTGTTATGTAGTACAGCTTCCAGGTTGACAACAACCAGGTTTAATAGGAGACCTGTAGCTGAAGGACTGAGGCCCTTAACCTGTATTCTCCACCCCTCTGTGGCAGCCAGGACTGTGATTCATATTTTCCCCTTCTCAATCCAAGTTCCTTTATCCCTCTAATTTGTTTGCTAAGGCCTTTCTGTTGTAGACTTTCTAAATTTAAGCTTGCTTTTTTCCATTACAAATATAAATCATTGTCCACCTACAACATGCCTACACAGATAGATTATTTCCAAATTTCCAACTGCCTCATAATATTGAAAATTAACATTAACCATCACCAAATGTATAAAAGCCTTTAATGTGTTTTAAATAGTTGTCTAAATTTGTCTGTCAACAAAGGCCAAACCATAAGGTTCATTAAGAGAAAAGCACTAAGGCTTCCCTCTCTCTGTTTCTTGGATTCTGTTTGCATGAGACAGAGTTGCCCTTCTGGCTGTGGCAAAGCTCCCTTGGTATTGTGCCTCCCCAACCCCCGAGCTGCAGTGTTGAATGAGGGCATTCGGGGGCTTGCACCCTCAGTCCCATGGGTACTTGTGCTACCCAGCCTCACCTCTCTGCCTCTGCCCATGTTTGGTATGGTGGGTTAACCCAGTGGTGATGATCAAATGCCTATTTTTGGACTGGTGACCTGTTAAAAATATAAAGAGGAGGGCATGTCTTCCCCAAAATTAGAAGAAAAAACAGAGCAAAAGCCAAAGATGCGTTTCACCCTGTTTTTTCTCCTGAGGTTCTAGTTTTTAAAAGTTATTTTGGTACAGGGCCAAAGTTTCTTTATATTCTTATAAGAAAACTAAGAAGCAGATGGCATTGACAGGCTTGGGGTGGTGGTGGGTAAGAAAGTGAGCCTAAAAGGTAGGAGACACTTTGCTGAAAACAAGAGAAATCACATGGAACAGTCTTTCTTCATGATGCAGACATTGAAAATCCAACACACTTGTACAAAAGACTAGACAAAGTGGAATTGGGTTTTTGCCCCAAGAAGGGAAGAGTCTCTGAACTAATACTGGGTGAAGAGTAGCACGATAGTGTTAGAAGATTAGGGCTTGTCAGAAATAGCTTTTCTTGCCTCCTCATGACTTGCAGAAGCCCCCCCCCTTTCTTGTTTTCCTCAAAAATAATAGTCTTCAGTATTTATGCTTAGGATCCTCAATAGTTTTAGAAGATCAGGCATACATTGGTTGTGCCAGAGTAAGACTGAAAGAGCTATTAGAATATAGATTGGGTTGGTTCCAGGCAAAATGGATTGCCAATTTAGGGCCATAATATAGACCAAACAGTGTAGGAAGATGCAAAAGGGCTGATGAGAGCAGGTGTGGAGAGGAGGACAGTACAGTTGTTTAGGGGGATGGGTCAGTTATTAAACTTTCAAAACCCATTTCTTAAAATCTTCCTTTCTAAAATGATGCCTTCCTATGTGCTCAGGTGAATGGAGTGAGGCCCTTTACCCCCTGCTGACCACCCTCACAGACTGTGTGGCCATGATGAGTGACAAGGCCAAGAAGGCGATGGTCTTCCTGCTCATGCAGGACAGTGCACCCACCATAGCCACCTACCTGAGTCTGCAGTACCGCCGCGATGTCGTCTTCTGCCAGACCGTAAGCCCAAGGGGTGCCACAGGGAGGTGATCCTACAGAATGAAAAGTAGACTTTGAAGCTCTTTTCCTCTCCATGTTTAAAAAAAGAATGTTTTCCTATGACTGTTGAAAATGCATAGAATACAAAGTTCAGAATTCAGCTCACACAACTCAGTTAGTGTTTACTTAGGAGAGGGTCCGATTTTACATTGGTTGCACCTTGAAAACTTGCACTGAGGGAATGTGCGCACCTGCTGGTTCTGCATGGAGGAGGAGGTGGAGGTGGGGCTATAGACCACACAGGTCTTTTTCACTCCGTTTTTCTTTTTCCCATAAGGGAGTTCAGTGAGGGAAATGTTGATGTTTGCTTTCAATGCAACCTGCTTCCTCACTAATAAAACAACAGAATGCCTTAGTTCTGTTGTTCACACAAAACTGGTTTCAGTGATTTCTATTTTCCTTCAGAGAAAGGAGTGTTTAAATGAATGGAACAAGTTGCATAGATGCCAGTAATCTAATTGGTAAAGTGAGCAGTGAACAGGGCTGGGATGGTTCCTTGCCATCTCTCCCAGCTGTCCTGGGGAGGTCAGTTTCATTCCTCAGAAGGCCTTTAACTGAGGAGATGACGACCGTGTTCTAACTTCTGTGCTTTGTTTTATTAAGCGTTTTCCATCTAGAGCTGATGTGGTTCTGTGAGTAGACAGGCCCCTTCACTGTGAGGAATTCGCTGTAGGCTTCCAGAGGGTAAAATCTAGGCCCAAACCAAACTCATCTTTGGACCAGTGGGAGCAGCAAGCTTGGAATGCTCTGCTTTCTCACTCTGCCTCCCTTGGTCCCAGAGCCAAGATGCTTCCCTAACAAAAGGGAGGGTTGTTATTCTAGCCCATTTTTGAGTAAAAGACACAGGAACCAGGAACCTTATGGATGTAGGTATAAACTGACTGCTGTTTGAGCAAGAGATGGCCCCATTCAACCATGTCACCCTGTGTCTCCTTCTGACCAGCTGACAGCTCTCATCTGTGGCTTCATCATCAAGCTAAGGAACTGCCTGCATGATGATGGCTTCCTGCGGCAGCTCTACACCATCGGGCTCCTGGCCCAGTTTGAGAGCCTACTGAGCACCTACGGTGAGACTCACTTCCTGCCCAGTCAGTGGGCCAAACACACCTGCACACTGCTGGGATTCGAGAATCAGTGAGCAGCAATCACATGTATGATTTTCATCATAAATAATATTCTTATCAGGCACATAATTTGCTCACTAAAATAACTGGAAACATTGTCCAAATAGATAATGTACGACCAACTAAAAAGTCCTCTTACATACACCGCCCCCCAACCTCTCTTGGTTCTTCTTATTGCTGTCATTTTTAAATTCTCTATGTATCATGGAGATGTTTCTAGTTAAAAATGGGTAATAATTATTTAACCAGAAATTTCCTGTTGAAACGACACTGCAGTGTAACATCTTTGCACATAAGTCTTTGTGCTTTTGAGGCCTATTTCTGAAATTTCAAGCTGGTTACAAAGAGTATTACTGAGTCAAAATGTTGGGGCATTTTTTAATTTAGTAGATATTTCCAAATTATCCTCTAAAAGGACTCTATTCTATCTACTTTTGTTTTCTTTTTGTATCTTATGAGAAGGTAGGAGTGAAGACATTTTAAAAAGCATTGTCAAGTTTAGCATTATTACACCCTGAATGAATAAATGGCAAACCTGATGTAATATGGAAAGATCTAGCCACAGTCACACTTACTGTATCTTTTTCCATTTCAAAAAGGCGACTTTTGTCTTGTAAGGTTTAGTACATTTCTGTTTCCTCTCACAGCCTTGTACAAGGGAAGGGTTTGCAAGAGTGGCCACAAGATGAATATTTTCTGGGCAACCCCTGTGATTTTCATGGCACTGAGGAGATGTGAGCCATGGGCAGAGAGGCTCAGGGAGGCCTTCTGCTCCTCCTCTTCACTCCCGCTCTCTCCACCGTCAGCTGTGCTGACAGGAGCTCTCCTCTCCCCAGAGGTCTCCTCCACCTGACAGCCCTCCTTCCCTCTTCCTGGCACAGGTGAGGAGCTAGCAATGCTGGAGGACATGAGCCTGGGAATCATGGACTTGAGGAACGTGACCTTTAAAGTCACCCAGGCCACTTCCAGTTCATCAACCGACATGCTGCCAGTCATCACAGGGAATCGGTAAACAAGAATGTTCTTTTAAATTCTAAGAGTTAGCACAGCACTTTTCATTTACTTGTATTACATACCTGGTACTCTTCAACTTTTATTTTCTCGTTTCCTTCTTTAGAAAAGTCTGGTTGCCATCTTCTAGCTTAGTTTCAGTCCTTTCTCAAGAGTTAAGATCATGGAGCCCGAGGCAGCTGTATCATGTGTTTCTTCCTCTCACGCTTTTCCTCCCCATCTCTTCCCATTTTCTCAGGCATCACCCACTAAGGCAGATCCACCAGGCTGGATGCCTCACTGCTCCTTGCTCCACAGCACCCTCTCTACCTCCCCCGTTGTCTTCCAGGGACGGCTTCAATGTGCGGATCCCCCTGCCTGGCTCGCTGTTTGATTCCCTGCCCCGCGAGATCCAGAGTGGCATGCTGCTGCGGGTACAGCCCGTCCTCTTCAACGTGGGCATCAACGAGCAGCAGACGCTGGCCGAGAGGTGCGTGCCGCCTGAGAGGGAGTAGTCTTAGCTGATGCTGTCGAGTTGACCCTACTAATAGTGACCCTGTGAACCCTGATCTGAACCCTGTCCCATCCTGTGCCATCTTCATCATCTCTGACAGACTTGAGCCCATTGTTATGTCACTATACTAGTACATCTTGTTGAGGGTCCTCTCTTTTGCTGACTCTTCACCTTTGCCAGCATGATGTCTTCTTAGTTTTTGTGAGGTTTTTGAACTGATATAGGGAAACTATTTGCCTTCTGTAGTTTCTGACAGCTGAGTGGACGTTATTGCCCCTTCTATTCATCAGTCAGCATTCTGTCACCATAGTTATGTGTCTGGCTCTGTGATTGGTTCTGGGGATACAGAGCTGTGTGACACATGTTCTGTCACCATGACACTCCAGCTCCTGAGTGTAAAGACAGTGAGAGGCTTGGGTGCAATGATGAGGACTCAAGCAGGGAGTTAAGGAATCCAAGAGTAGGGACACCCAGTAAGGTCTGAGGGGGCTGGGAAGACTTTCTGGAGAAGGTAGTGCCTGAAGTGGGTTTTAAAGTATGAGTAGGAGTTAGATAAAGAAGTGGAGGGTAGAATGGGTATTGCAAGATGGTAGACTGAAGGCTATTCAAGACAGGGATCGCAGTGGTGAGTGTGGACAGGCCTTATGTGCCTGACTAAGCATTGTACCTTGATTCTAATGGCTTATGTCTTTCAGACTCTCCCATAGATTACTTGTTAAGCAGCAAAAAGACATTTATGTGCACATGTACACATAGGGAGTTAATTATACATAATAACTCAGTACATGTTTCTTGCTTTATCTTTTACTGTCATGAGATAAACATACATCAGTATAAAAATACCCCAAATGGCCCGTTTTATGAGACTTCAACACCATGTGCCATACTTCTACTAGACCTTTGAAATCCCTTGCATGTGTCCATTGATCCCCTCAGTGTAAGGAAACCTCCACTTAGGAAATAATGGCATGGCTGGTGAGTACAGTGCAGGACTTTTAGTAGGGTAGGACACAGCGAGACTTGGGTTGTAAGTTGGTCATTTTGCTAGCCATGTGGTGAGAGCATTGGAGGGGGGCAAGTGTGATGAAGAAGTCTTTGGGAAGTTTCCAGGTGAGAGGCAGTAACCTGGATCTGAACAGAACTAGTGCAGATGGAGAATGGACACCTGAATATTATGTGGTGGCAAAACAGAGTGCTTTCATCTTCAGATGGGCTTAACTGAGCCAGCAAGCCCAGATGAGGGTCATGTTAGGGACAGATGATCTGAATTTCCATGTGACATCCTAGTACCTATGGGTGAAGGACAAAGCACACATTTAGTCATGGGAAATGAAGGTCGAAGTTGAAGACATATAAATTTTGGAGTCCTTGGTAAATTAGGTGACAGGTAGGGTATAGAGGAAGGAAGGACATGGGTGAGGATACACAGGGAGCAGAGGTGGCCACAGAGTGAGCAGAGTTAGGGGAGCCCACTTTGGGGTATAGCTCTTGGGAATTCGGCAGGGAAGTAAATGTCTGTAGGTAGGGGACATCGTTCTCTGAAACCTGAAGCTGTTGCTTTTAATAGCCTTTGCAAGAAACAGTTTCTAGAAGAGGTTGGGACAGGCCCACATTGCAGTGAGTGGAGAAAAACATGGCTTTGAGAACAGGTGGGACTTTCAAGGTGACCAATAAGAGACTAGTGTTGATAGAGGTCATTCAGCAGGGCAGTGGTGGAACTGGACTTGGTGTCCAGGTCTTGAATTTTCAGGACCTGCTTAGCTACTCTTTGCAAGAGACAAGCAATCTCGTACCTCCCCCCCCTTATGCATTTGGCACTCATTTGCTGTGTGCCAAAGAGCATCTGGGGTGGCCCTTCCTGTCCTGGCAGGCCTCATTAGGGGGCATGATAAGGAACAAGTGTCTCATGAATAGGCCAGGGGCACAGTCAACCAGACACATAATAACTTCAGATTCACATGTAAGCCTGGGTCCTCACTCCCTGCCATAGCCCCCTGCCTTCCCCTCTCTTGACCTGCTTTTAAGAAAGATGACACACACACACACACAAATAAATAAATAAAAAAAGAAAGATGACACAAGGACTAGCCAGCTGTGAGTGGGTGTTCCTATGCTGCACAAGGACAGCACTTGTCAGTCTCTGGTCTGGCACAGATCAGGTTCAAATCATCTTCTGTGTGATTATATGTGATTCCTGCCAAGGAAATGCATCAAACTTTGACCAATTCAGTAGAGATGACCTTGTACTCTGGAAGACAAAAGTGGCATAGAATTTTACTTACAAAAGAAACATGGGACATATTTGAAGTATGTTTGAGAGAATCAATATGATTATCATAATGCAATTATATTCATGTTAGAAGGAAAGAATGGTAACCAACTAATGATGTCTCCTCACTATGTCCAAAGGTTTGGCGATACATCTTTACAAGAAGTTATCAACGTGGAGAGTTTGGTGCGGTTAAATTCCTACTTTGAGCAATTTAAAGAAGTTTTGCCTGAGGATTGTAAGTATTTATTCACTCACAATAGGCTTCGCTTGGCTGGGTTTTTCTGGTTGTGTAAGGTGTTTGTGAGTCCCTGCCTTTCAGGCTGTGTGCTTACTGACCTGGGTGCTGCCTAGGCTCAATCCTGGTTCATGCTTGTATTAGTGTTCCTTTCTTGTCCCCATCCCCACTGGACAGCCAATTGGGCAGGCTCTGCCTGGTGCAAGTCCCCCACCCAAAGATGCTTGTCTTGTGGCTTCAGTCTTGCTGCTATTTCTTCTGGTTGGTTCTCTTCTAATCTATCATGTGCTGCTCTGTCACATACTTTTGTCATCACTGATGCTCATTTTTGTACCCAGTGGCATGCATGTACTCTTGCTATGACAGGTGGGGTCACTGAGGCAGGACCCACTTGACCTACGTGGTTGACTTGTCCACAAGGGCCAGGGGGCGGTGAGTTTCCATGACCTTCTCTATGGAGCTGAGTGCCAGATACTGTACTAAGTTCTTTAGCCATGCCCTGCATCCCCAGTGAAATGGGAGTTCTTTTTCTATGGAAAACAGAGGAGACAGCATAAAACTAGGTCCTTGAGAGGAGCTGAGGAGATTTGGAATGGGTGTTGTTGGAACTATCGAGGCAATAGTTCATAACTCTGGCTGCATGCTAAAAACTTATGGAGAGCCTTAAAAATGTGGTGCCCAAGCTCTGATTAGGACCATAGAAGGTAGAATGGCAGATAAAGATAGGGCAAAATTCAAGAGCATAAAAAAAAGGCCGGTGGGGGAGGAGTGGGCAGGGAGGAAAATGTGCAACAATGAATGAATGAATGAATGGGGGGGGAGGGAATTAAATGGAAGGAATATGCTGTAAATATAAATTTTATTTATGTATATATGTATGTATTTATATATATGTATATGTATCTATCTAGATATAGATATAGATACAAATACAGATATAGATATAGATATATAGAGATAGAGATGATAGATAGATAGATAGATAGATAGATAGATAGATAGATAGATAGATAGATAGATATAGCATTACAAAAATCATTAATAAAAAAATAAAGGCCAGACTGGCTGGTCTGAGAGAGAGAGGTGAAACCCTGAGACAATGGCTTTTAGAAACTCTTTAAGCCTGGACATGAACTCATCTCCAGGGATCACTTTGTAGCCAAGGAGTACAGACTCATCTACAAAGTCAACAGTAATGTTTTTGAAGGAATGTGCTCCTCAGAATAGTTAGCCATGTGAGATCTAAGAATAGTATTTGCCTTTTAAAAACAAAGCTCAGAACACAGAAAGAGCAGGAAAGAACACCTGGAAATGAGGAACCAAGGAAGGAAATAAAAATGTATTGTTACATTGGGAGAATTGCAACTAATGTTGTGAAACAAAACTGTATCTAAATTACTGAATGGAAAACCTATTCTGTAAACTTTCACTTAGATCTCAAAAAAATACATATACTGGGGAGGGGCTTGTATAGCAATGAAAGTTTTTTTGTGTTTTGTTTTTTACTTTACAAAGAGAAAAGTGAACTGGGGAGGAGAAATGGGCATGGGGGAAAGTGTGCAACAGTAAATGAATAGAAATCCAAAGTCTCTGTAAACTTTCATTAAAATTAATTTTAAAAAATTATATATATATACTGGTACCAGTCTCCTTTCTGGGTCAGACTAGGGCATCAGGACTTTTAGACTCTCCCCTGATGATCCGTGCAGGATGAGGACTCAGCTGAAGGTAGTCCAATACCATGGGCTAGTGTGAATCCAATTATTGGGATGGTAAGTTGTTCAGTAGTAATAATAGTAAATCGCGATAGATTTTATTCTGTGAGTCCTTTCCATGTCCCCAGCACTGTTCTACAGACGGTAGAGCCAGGAAGACTTTGCATGACCCAGGAAATCGGAAGCAGGAAGTAGGAGCCTTTTTACCCTTTAAGCCCCAAAATAATTGCTAGTCTGTGAGACTGGAAAGATGGAAACTACCTAATTTAGCACCTCTTAACATCTCTCATTTCATAAGCTGACCAGTCTGTGTTAAACTGAGCGCTTCAGTGGTGATCAAAGAGAACTCAAGTTGATCTTGGGATATAGGAACTCATCTTTCCTCCAGGAGGTTAAATACCTCTGACCCACCCCATGACCTCTATCATAGACTGAGCCCTTCACAAGCAGATGGAGCCTTGTGTCCATCTCTGTGTTTTTGTCCACACCAGCATGACCTGGGTACACATCAGGAACATGGAAAAATTGGACTGGATAGGGCCCTGCCTACACCAGGGTAAGATGGTGTGATGAAACCATGAACCATTGGATCCCAAAAGACTGTGTGTTTTGATTTTCATATTCATATATACTTTAGCAAGTTCCCTTAAACATCACTCTCAAGTTCTTCCCTTTGATAGAGTTTGGAAATCCCAAGGCGACGTCAGGAGGGGTTGTTTTTTCTTTGTTGTTGGGCTTTTTAGATTCTAATCTGAGTGAAAGTTTTAGGATAAAGCTTATTGTGTTTTCATTCATTCATGTATGTTTTGTTCTATAACATTAATCACAATACTCATAGTGTTGGATCACCTATTCATTTCCACATCCTGAAAGGGCATGGAGACTCTGTGGAGGATAGAAGCTTGTAGAATAATGGGAAGAAGCCTCTAGGAGTCATTCAGAAATTGCCCTCCTTTAAGCTCAGCATCCAGAGTCAGGAGGCTGCATGTCCCAGATTCCTTCAAGGAGTTTCTGGCCCGCTGATGGCAGAAACCACTGCTGTAAGCCATCAGCCTTTACAGGGGGAGGTTCTGAGTTCACCTTCCCCTCCTGCCTTAAGAAGAACAGAGTTAATATGGGCATTTTTGGTATATTCCCTAGATCATTTGATCTCAATCCTCAGCCTCTCATAAGAGATGAAGATAATTAAATGGTGGGGAAAGAACTTGGATGTGTTAAGAAACACAACCAGACTCATTGCCATTGAGTCTGTTGTAGCTCACAATGATGCTTCAGGGCAGGTTAGTGGTTAATGGTTAGTACTGTCCCCAGGAGGTTCCCTGCACTGAACTCTTTATGGAAGCAGATAACCACATCTTTCTTCTGCAGAGCTTGGTGGTTTCAATACACTAACCTTTCATTTCACAGCCAGATGCTTTAATCACCACACCATCAACAAACTTCTACCATATTCCTTAAACTGTACACCATTTTGGCCGCTTCCACCAAAATGATGTTATTTTATCCCTTAGAGGCAGTGGCTGCTGACATGAGGTGGAGCTTCCAGGCTCAGCATCCCCTCCATGCACATGTCTTCTCTTCCAGGTCTGCCTCGCTCTCGGAGTCAGACGTGCCTGCCGGAGCTGCTGCGGTTTCTGGGCCAGAACGTCCATGCCAGGAAGAACAAGAATGTTGACATCCTCTGGCAGGCTGCTGAGGTACTCTTAATTGCGAAAAGAGTGTTACTGTAGTATCTACTATTAATAATGATAATCATGTTGTTGCTGTTGAGTACCATCACGTCAGAACAGACCCTCCAGTGGGTTTTCAAAGGCAATATGTCGATAAGGAGAATTTTTCTCCCACAGAGGTGGTGATGGCTTCAAACCATGGACCTTTGGGATGGCAGTGCAACACTTTACCACTAAGCCATCAGAGCTCCCTAATGATAATGTTGTTGTTGTTGTTGTTGTTGTTATTATGTGCCATCAAGTCACCCACAACTCATAGCGACCCTATGTACATTAGCTCTGAACCTTGTCCTATCCTGAGCCAATCTCATCATCTCCAACAGACCTAATCCCATTTCTCCAGTCACTGAGTCAATCCATCTCATACTGGCTCTTTCTCTCCTGCACTGTCCCTCTACCCTTCCAAGCATGATGTTCTTCTCCAAGGATTGGTCCCTTCTGGCCACGTGACCAAAGTATGTGCAACAGAGCACCAAAATCCTTGTCTCCAGGGAGCACCTTGGTTTCATCCTCTCCAAGATGGACCTGTTTGTTTTTCTGGCAGTCCATGGTATGTTCAATGCTCTTGTCCAGCACCACAACTATAGATATCGATCCTTCTTCTATCATCCATCATTATTGTCCAGCTCTCTGATGCATAGCACATAAATGCAAAGACCGTGGACTGTATTAGGCACACTTTAGTCTCCAGACTGACAGTGTTGCTCTTCAGTACTCTATAGGTCCCTGATAGCAGATTTTTCCCAGTGCAATTCACCTTTTGATTTCTTGACTGCTAATGCCAAGAGTATTGCTTGTGGAACCAAGTAAGCTGAAGTTGTTAACAATCTCAGTCTCTTCACCATTTGTCATGAAGTTGCCAGTTGACCCACTGGTGAGAATCTTTGTTTTCTTGATGTTTACCTTCTGTCCATATTGAAGACTACAGTCCTTGACCTTCTGCAGCAAACACCTCATGTCCTCCTCCGTTTCAGCAAGGAAGGTTGTGTCATCTGTATAACACAGGTTGTTGATTAGTCTTTCTCCAATCTGATGCCACATTGCTCCCCATGAAGTCCAGCCTCTCAAATGATCTGTCTGCATATAGATTGAAAAGGTATAGAGATAGGATGCATCTCTGATACGTATCTTTCTTGATCCTGAACCATGCAGTTTCCCTGCTCTTTTCTAACTACTCTTCTCTGGTCCAAAAATAGGTTTCACATGAGAACAATTAAGTGTTCTGGGAGCCCCATTCTTCTCAAGGTTTGCCACAATTTGTTATGATCCACACAGTCTAATGGCTTTGCATAGCAAATAAAACACAGCTAGACATTCCTCTGGTATTCTTTGCTTTTGGCCAAGATCCATCTAACATTGGCTATGATGTCCCTAGTACCATGGCCTCTTCTAAACCCAGCTAGCACATCTGGAAGTTCTCTGCTGAGAACTGTTCCAGTTGTTTTTGGATAATCTTCAATGGATCTTGCTTGCTTGTGATATTAGTGATATTGTTTAATAATACTGACTCACCTTTTTTTGGAATGGGAATGCATATAGATCTCTTCCTGTCAGTTGTCCGGGTAGTTGTCCTCCTGATTTCTTGGCACAACCTGGTGAGTGCATCCAAGGCAGCATCTGTTTGCGGAAGTATGTCCATTGGTGTGCCACCAATTCCTGGGGCCAATTCCTTCAGAGCAGCTTGAACTTTCTCCTTCATACCCACTGCCTCTTGATCATATGTTGTTTCATGAAATTCTCCCATGTCAGCCAATTCTTTTTTGGTGTAGTGACTCTGTGTACTCTTCCCATCTTCTTTTGATGCTTCCTGAGTCAACATTTTGCCCTCAGCTTCCTTCAGTATTGCAACTTGGGGCTTAAACTTGTTTTTCACTTCCTTCAGCTTAAGAAATGCTGAGTGAGTTCGTCCCTTTTGATTTTCCAGCTCTGGCTTTTTGCACATTTCATAATAGCAAATCAAATCTTACCCAGGAATAAAGAGAAGCAGTTGTTGCCTACAGACAAAAGAGAAAATTGCTGAATCAAAAACTGATACTCTAAATCTCTGGAAGATACTGAAAAGTGCCTCTGCCCGTATCACCATAGGCCTTGAGTTCTGGTAAAGGTGACATACAGTGTATTCCCTGGGGCATGTACTACCCAGGCTTATGACATTGTCACTTTTCAGAAGCCTCACTTCATTCAGCCAGTTACCATTAAGTCACCTACAGGTCCCAGTGACCCTAATATGTCAGAGTAGAATTGTGCTCCATGGGATTCTCTTTGGCTTAATTTTCAGAAGGACGTCGCCAGATCTTTTTATCCTGAGACATCTCTAGGTGGAGTCTTAACTTCTGGCTCCTTGGTTAGCAGCCAAGTGTATTAACCATTCACAGCCACCCAGCGACCCCACAGGAAATACCAGCTAAACTCACTGCCTGCTGAGTCATTAGTTTTACAGAATCAAAGGAAGAATTGGACCTTGAGGCTTCTTTAAGTTTGGGGGGTGGTTTTAAATCTGCTGTGGTTCTGATTTTCTTATTTCCCCAAGTACTTCTTCAGATATTTTTGTCATCAACTTGCTAGTGGAATTTCAGGTCACTGCTTTGAGACTGCCTAGCAGAGCATTTTCATAAGCACTATCTAGACTCTCACAACGGGAATGGAGTGCATCTCGGTGGCAGCATCAGTTGCCCAGCATCAGCCTATCACAGGTCACTCAGGTATGAGTGGCCCTTCAGTGGTCCCAGTCCCAAAGGACAGGCGATTCAAGCCACTAGTAGCTCCACAGGAGAAAGATGAATAGTCTCCTCTCATATCATTTATGGCCTTGGAAACCCACTGAATGGTCAGCTATTAGTCCATGACTTAACAAGAATGAGCTATGTTAAATATAGCCCTCAGACCAGACTGGATGTGACAATCCTAGAGAAGTCTAGAGCAGCTCTGGAATCAAACTCAGTAGTATTTCTTTACTAAAAGGGGTGAATATCTATACAAAATGTGGTAAAGAATATAAAAGCCCTGCATCAGTTCAGGTATGACCATGCTATAAGCTTACAAACAAAACTGTATCAGAAACCCTTCTTGGGTTCAGAACCATCGGCTTTGAGGAGTGTGTACCTAGGAAGGTGTCTGGTCTCTTTCCTGTAGGAAGCAGAGGGTGCTGAGATGTCCTCTTCCCAGCTTGGAGGTCACCCTCCAACTGGTGAGCTCCCTAGTTGTAAGGGGGCAAGCATGTTGCTGCCCCGTATTGTGCTCTGGGCCCCTGGGTGAGGTGGAGGTAGCCAGGAAGGGTCTCTATGGCTGGTGGTGAGAGTTACCAAAGGGAAATCTCTCTTCTGACTGTTCCCGTGTCTTTGGGTGGGAAAACATGGAGGATAACTGGACTGTTCCATCCCTTCCCGAAAGGGACTGTGAACATCTTGTGGGCTGATCTGATCTTCCTGAAAGCGATCATTTTTTGCTGCCTTCTTCCCCCAAGGGGCTGGCAGCAAAAGACTGAAAACAACAAAAGAAGCCAGGTTTATCAAAGAGAAGATAGCTGGTAAGGACTAGGCTAGCAAACTATGGTGATGCCTCAGAAGAAGAAGGGGACCAAGACTGAGAAGTAGAATCTGATGGGAGAAGGCAGGGTTGCCTTTGCTAAGTGAGGGCTCCTTTCATTAAGTGACTTTGTTTCCGTCATCATCTTTGGCAGGACACAGAGTTGGGGGTGGACTGGCTGGGAAGCAAAAGCAAAAAGTAGAGCTCGGCCCAGCTTTGGCAGGACACATGACCACAAGGCGCTGTTTGTGAGCTTTCCTCCTGTTGGAGGGTGTTTCTGCTCTGCAGAGTGTCTGGTCCACAAACACTGCACTTTCCCATTGCAGATCTGCCGCCGCCTTAACGGGGTCCGGTTCACCAGCTGCAAGAGCGCCAAGGACCGCACGGCCATGTCGGTGACGCTGGAGCAGTGCCTGATCCTGCAGCACGAGCACGGCATGGCCCCGCAGGTGTTCACACAGGCCCTGGAGTGCATGCGCAGGTGAGTCCGCTGCCCCCACCCCTGCTCCCGCCTGCCCCCTACCGGCCACCACGTGTAAACTGCAGATGAGCCTGCCCCAGGGACCCAGTCCCCACACAAGCCTAGCCTGGCATGAATACTGCTCAAAACTATTGATTCTTTCAAACTGAGATAGTAGTAGTTTTGTTTTGTTTTTTTTAACTCGAACGAAAAAGAGTCAGCAATATTCATGCACAGGACTGAGCTGGAAGCACGCAGGCTAGCTGGCAGGTGTGGGTGTGAGATGGCTAAATGAGGAGCTATGATGCTGTTACTGAGCTCTGGCTCCCACCAAGTGGAAGTCCTGGACCTCCTGGCATTCCCTCAGCCACCTGCCTCGTGGGTGTCATTTAGATGACAGCTGTATTAACAGGTGTCAAGTGAAGTCATACATGATGACGAAGACACATCTGCAGGTTGCACTGGCTGCTCTGCTTCTCCTTTAATGGTAGACCAGTTGCTTTTCTGAGCAAAGTGTCCCAATAAGTGTCTCTGGTAACAGCAGCCAGCCCCACCCCACCCTACCTGTCAGTGTGCCATGGCGACCTCCCCCTAATGATGTTCTGATTCTGAGGCAGCAGGTGTGTTTGCAGATTCAACCCGAAACTAAAACATCTGTTTACTGTTGACCAATGCCTTGTTCCAAGCACTGCTGGGAAGCACCTATCTCACATACTGAAAGAAAGGATAAGAAACCTGGTTTCCCCGTCTTCTTCAATGTAGCTCACCAATGCTGTTAAAGTCTCGTTTCCAACAGTCACTTCTACTGAACGTTCTGTACCATTTGTCCTCTCACCAAATTCTTTGAAGTGTTCGATTCTCTTATCCTTTCTGTATGTTTCTGCCGTTTGACCTTCTCACAATAATGCCTTTTTAAAAAAATCACATAAACTCCTGCCTCTTGATCATTGTTGTTATATGCCATCCAGTCAGTCTATTCACAGCTGACCCTCAAGTGGGTTTGCACAGGCTGTAAATCACAGGAAAGGAGATTGTTCACCCTTCTTCCCAGGAGCAGCTGGTGGATTAGAATTGCCTGTCTTTGAACTGGCAGCACAACTCCTTACCTGTTAAGCCACTTGAATTTTGTTAAATTAGGATAATAGTGCCTTATGCTGTCTTTGAAGGTTCACCTGATACTCATTGCTGAGGAGTTGATTCTGACTCCCAGGGACCCTGGCATAGAGTAAGGTTGCCCCTTAGGGTTTCCAAGGCTGTTTTGTGGAGGTGACTACCACAGCCTTTTCCTGGTGGAATAGGGTAGATGTAGATTTCAGGCGTTTTGGTTAGCAGCCAGTTGCTTAAACACTGTGCCACCAGGGATCCTTAAAGATTTTTCTTCTCTTTTTTTGCAAGTAATGTTGTTGTTTTGTACCATAGAGTCGGAACCAACCCATAGTTGACCCTCCAGCGGGTTTTCAGAGGAAGTTACTCTCATGGGTGGAGATTGCCCATCCTTCTCCCTTGCAAGTAATAAGAAATTTTATTGATATACTTAATAAAGAGGCTTTAAACTTCAAATTAGGAAAGGTAATAATCAGTTAGATAAATTAAATACCTTCATTTTATTAAGAATGAAAAATTTATAAGCATGTTGTCTGGTAGACAGCACACATGCAACTGACGAGTGTGGCCATGTGTTCAAGGAGCTGAACCTTCTCCTTAAAGGTTTTTCTTGATGCTCTCTGTTATCCTGAGGCCACCTACTTATGCCCTCCAAGAACGCTTCTCTCATGAAACTCTGTGACCTCGTGAGATAAGCTTTCTTGGTAGACAGAGGGAGAAGGTGAAGAAATTAGGATAGATCTAGTGGGGACCTGAAAAGATGGGGTGATAGTGGACATAGATCAATGGTGATTTATTTTATAAAGCACAGTGTATGGGAATGAGCATATGAAATACTATGTGATTGAAAGAAAGTGTGAAACAAAATGTCCATGAATGAAACACGATGTATACAGATTTAGGATACAAACCAATACAAAAATTAAATTTAAAAAAATAAAGGCTCAACAGCAACTAATAACAAGTTGCTGGACACTAGGAAGTGTCAGAGTGCTAAAACAAGGTCCCTGTACTGTTCGAGACCTTGTATGAATAAACTTCAAATATAAGAATTAGCACAAAGGACCCCCCCCAAAAAAAAGCTTCTCTCCCATCTTTGCCTTTGGTGTCAGGAAGCCTTGCTTTTGGGTTGAAGTTGATAGTACTTTTCAAAGGAAGGCCAAGAGAGTCCTGCCCCTGGGCACCTTGTTCTGTGTTGGCCTCGTTGACCTTGTCTGGGCCTGGCTTTTCCTGTGAGGTCTTGGCTCATTGGAGGTCCGTAGTTCCAACACCCTTGCTGCACCTGATCCTGGGGCACCAGCCAGCACAGGTAGGGTTGGAGGTGTGAGTACTCTAGAAACAGCCTCCATTCATGTGGATTCCACCCATGAGGCTCCCCTCAGGCAGCAAAGGAATAGAAAAAAAACACAGCTGTAGATTAAGCCATGAGAGAAGTGTTAGGTTTATGAGTAGATACATGTCCATTCTCTAGACTCTTGAACAAACCCAATGGAAATAACAATTTTGCTGATTGCCTCTATGCATAAAGGTCTCAGGACACCGGGGGCTAAGTGACTCCATCTGTTATTGCACATGCTGTTATAGTCCAATGTGTTTAGAGCTGCTGGCGGAGGCCCTAGCACCCAGCTGCACAGCCACCTCCAGCTGCCTCCTGTGCATTGTGGGTTTGTATGGGCAGCACCTCATGTACACAAGATACCATCTATCTGTACTATTTGTTTTTTCCAAATTTTAACAAATTTTATAGTGAACACATACGACTTTAAGAGAGTGTAAGAGGTTATTTTGAAAAAACAAAGCGTACTTGCAGTTCATCTCTGCACACTCCCCAGGCTGTTGCCACAGCAGCAAAGCCAGGAGACCCAAAACTCCTAGGGTGGGCTAAACTGCCTTCTTGGTTAGATTCCATTCTAAGGGATAATATTGTCCGGAGGGAGGAAAACCCCAACACTTGAAAGTTGGAGGCTCCAGAATCCACTGCCTTTCCATGGCTTAGTCTGAGCCCAGGCAGTGTATGGCAGCAGTTCTGCTTCCAGTTGATCTGTGAGTAAATGCCCATCATTGGTGTGGTCAGTCAAGAGGCAGCTTCGGCACAATTACACTACCTGTGTTCAGGCATCTGTGAGAAGGTCAAACCCCTTAATGGTTCTTCATGTTCAGCTTGCTTTTCAGAAATCCATGTCTTTGCAGCATGTGAGAGCATGGCAGGGCGCATGGAGCTGTGCTTGGCCACCTGAGAGAGAGTGAACATGGAAAACCATTTTATTCAACCTACATGTGTTTATTTTCAGTAGACTACAATATTTTTTCTTATTTTTCACTTCTCTTTCTCTCCTTTTTTCTTATAACTGTGCTGGTTTTGTTTTGGTATTCCTTCCACACCCCTTTCTGCATATCATCTTTTCTTTCTGTTGTGGCTTCATTCCATTTCCTCCACCCCCACCCCCAATCTTACTTTTGGGTTCGCCTCCTTTTTTTTTCTTTTTTCCTTCACACTTTTTGGTAAAATCCATCGCATGCCTTTTTTTCTTCGTTTACTTTCCCTTCCTTTTTTCTTTTCCTTTCTCCCAAACCTTTTCCTTTTCACAGCATTGGAACACGGGAGGTAGTCACCCAGAAGAACTTGAGCGGCCTGGTGCCCATCCGAGACTTAAGACTAGATCCCAGCCTTCTCTGTTCCATTCCTTTATTAGCTCTGAGCCCCAATTTACTGATTGTGTGGCTCTTTCTGAGCATAGCATACCTGGTGACCAAATTGCGTTGCAAATGAGTATTACTATGAAAAGTTAATCACAAGAAAAACAAAAGTGCCAGAATTTATCTAGCCACCGTGTACCTAACTGGACAGAAGGAATGTGTTAAAAGCGTGACCTGCTAAGAATATCTCATGCCTTACAGTTTGATGTTTTGTTGTTCTGAACTGTAAATGCCCGCCAAATTCTTTCACCAGTAGGACTTGTTCATCAAAATTATGTAGTGTTTTCAGTGCTTGTAACATGTTCCCTGTCACTTATAATTTAACTGGCCTAGAGGAACGTTACTTGTATCAATTCCACATCTTCTGATGTATTTCTTCATTACCTGTACATTTCGTATGCCCTGTTTCCAGAGAAAGGAATTCTGTCTGAAAAGAATTTGTATATTTGATAATATTCTTAAATGTACTGCTAACATTTCCTTTTTGAAGCAAAGTGACAAGATAAACAGATGCTTTGTAACTGCTTCATCTAGATAAACCTATTCAGTAGGACATGTAATTTCTGCTTTCATTTCAAAGCGCAGTCCCTGGATTACAGTAGCAAACAGTTTGCAGAATCATAACATTTCCTTGCTTCTGTTTAAATATTTTTTCAATTTGAGATGACACAAAGCTCTGAATACAATAGTACTTTGTACCAAGTCATACACATATTGCATGTGACTTTTAGATTTACTCTTTTAATGCTTTATTAAATTGATTCCAGGAACCACACACATAGTAATAAAAGGCTGTGCAAGTTACATACTTATTATTCTTAAAATTACATTTTTCATTTTAAAAAATTGCATCTTTCATTCCAGATTAAACTCTAGACATTCTCTTATCTCTTACTCATCATATATGATTAATAATGACAATAATCACAGAAAAATTACCAGAATGTGAGGCCTAATTCCTAGATGTTTGTGCAGGTGAAGCTGTGAGTGATAGAAAGTCACTTTGGTTTCTGCTGTTGTTATTCTCAAATATAAGATGACAATGTCCACAAAACAGGATGCTATTTAACCCCCTACCTTCATTGATGGCAGAAAGGTAATTGCATAGCCACAAAGGCAACAGAATAAATAAGAGAATTTTTCAGCCCCTCTACCGTAAGTTGTTGCTGCTGTTATATGCTGTTGAGTTGGAACTGGCTCATAGCTGGCCCTCCAGCAGATTGTCAGAGGCTGTATGTCGCACAGAAAGAGGTTACTCTTCTTTCTCCTGAGGAGCACCTGTTGGGTTTGAACTGGATGCCTTTCTTTGAGTTGGCAGCACAACTCCTTAGCCCCTAGGCCACCAGAGCATTCTCTGTAAGTAGTTGATGGTTTCTGTCTTGCAGTTCTAATTAGTGGTGCTGCTGTTTTCTACCTCCATATAGTTCCCAGTATACAGCATTGTATGAAGGAGGATTTCTTTTCACTAGTCTGGAAAAACTGAAGAATCTGACTTTTCTAGAAGTATGTACTTCAGCATTCACACAGACTCACTTGGCTGTGGGGCCTCAGAATTCACTGCAGTATTTCCCTAATATGGCTTCAGGTCAGAGTCTAGTCAGAAGTCCTCTCTGTGGGCAACGCCACCAAAACTCCCTGCGAAGCATATAAGCTGTTAGAAATCAATAACAAGTGCCACATTCAGAGTATAAATTCTAAAATGCCAGGAGCATCCATCACACACTAGGGTACCCATTCTTCCTAGTGCGCCAAGGCCCAGTACAGCTCAGGACAGGAATGTCCTCTGCATCACACCTGTAGGTGAACCCACCTTTCTCACACGTACAGTGTCCCTCTGCCTTTCTAGAATAAATGAGGTGATAGTTCTCTAATACAGCTCTTGACATCATTCATAGGGAGTCTCTCACCAAATGCCAGCCCGTTGGTGGTAGTAAGTTGTAGAAGCATGACATTAGTCACTAGAGCCAGTGCCATCTGGCGTGTTCACCATTTGCCGCCTTTCAAACAGAGATGTGCACTTCAGCTGTCCCATACTGTTCTGTCTGCTTTATTTGATAGAGGGGAAGTAGATGCCATGGCCTCATTCAATTCCATCCCACACAGCACAGCCTCACACACCCTTTCCTCTGCGTGCCGGGTTCGGCACACTCTTCCTTCTGGGGGCTAGGGAGGAATGGCGCAAGACAGAAGGATTTAACCAGCTATCAGAGGTCCTACCTTCTATGAGACAGCTTTTCCCAGCCCCCGGGACCCTGAGGTGGTTACTGCAGCACTTTACAGAATCTTCTCCCAAAGGGCAATGATACCAGTCTTTCCATGGTGTCCCAGAGCCCCATGCCAGATCGTCTGGTTGCCATAGTGCCTGCCATGTATTCTTGTTTCTGTGTAGATCAGGCTGTTGGACTGAGAGAGAAATGAGAAAGAAGGGGAGAATACAGAGCTCGTGGCTTCTGTTTCATAGGCCTCATTAAAGAGGTATTATTACCTAAGCAGATAGTCATGGAGGACTTGAGCTGGAAAGGTCATGATAGACCAGCATGGTTGATTTGAGAAGAAACCAGGAAGAAGGCTGTGGGTTTTGTTTGGATCTTCTCCTCTCCACCCCCTTTTGGAATATGTGAAAAAGGGGGAAATAAGGAAACTGAGCAGGCCCTCTTTATGCCACATTTTAATGTTAACAAAGGCTTTTTACTCATGAAATCATGCCATATACGTATCTAAACTCTTTTCTGTTTTAGTGAGAGACAGAACAAAACAAAAACAGGGACATCATTTAAGAAAGAAAAGTCATCCATATTTGGTGATAAGTTTCTGGTTGTTTCTAAGGTAAATGTTAGTACTCAGATAGTGTTAGTAATAACTCTAAATACTCAGTAGTTCTCTTTGGATGGGCTGATAAAATTGGCTACCATGGGGCTTCTGGCTGTTGGACTGAGAGAAAATGGGATGGAAGCAGAGGTGGTGATGTCACAGAGGATTCTCCCTCCACAGTGTGACATCAGACATGGCCACTCTAGTGCCTAGCTTAGAATCAATGAGAGACTCTTGTCCAAATGAGTTCCAAAGTGGAAGATCCTCACAGGAAAAGGAAAACACAGAGGATAAAATGAATTGTTTGGAATTTCCATCCTAACTTGTGTTGGTTTTGAAAATAGATTTCCTTGAGAAAACATTTTTTATTTTTAACATCAAAAAGAACCCTGTAGCTTTGAGATGGTCATAGCCTTAAAATCTCTCCAAGACCTTCTCAACATATAGTGCTGGCTCCTGAAGTTGTACGACCACTGTGATGCATGAAGAAATTTTGTCAACTGACGGGTGACCACAGACAGGGCTACTACTCTTTCTCTCTGCCCTTAAGTTATTTGAGGCAGCTCGTCCCAGGGTGCAGGCCCTGGGATGCAAATGCCAGCAGATGATCTACCTTGTGACTGGATTTTTGTAAACCTCAGCAAAATTACAAATCTCGGGGGTGGGGTGGGAGGAACGTAAATACAGTATGATTTGGAAATTAAATTGAAACCAACGTTAGTACCAGAATTTCATTCATAAAAGCAAAAATAATTCATGGAGTGAAACCAGTAATTTGCATCTTTAACCTGCACAGAAAAAATAATGGAGATGTACCTAAGCCATTCTTCCATGCTCCTTAATGCACCCATGATCTGTGGTTTCAAGAAGTTTGCACATTTCTATACAAATGGAAAAGCCATAACTGAAACAGTCTGTCAGTGTAAAAACTTCCAAAAATTAAGTGTAATTAACTGTGCATAGAAATCTCTAGTTTCTGCTTATTTAAATGGAATTCTATTTTTATCTGGTTGTGAATGTTAGACTTACACAGTGCTTGTTTACTCTGGGGACTCCCTGTTCAGTGGCCAAAGCCTTTAACCTAGCTGATACACGGCTGAGAGTTTGGGCCTCTGGTAACCAGAAAGCACACCTGAGCTACTAAATGAGCTAGAAACGAACAGGTAGAAACTTCTAAAATGGCCTGGACTTAACCCTGTTCAACGAAAGTATTGGGTCTTACCAAAAACATTTTACATAATTCTTGATAACATGACAGTCGGAAAACGCTTGAGCAGCCACTGATTTTTTTTAATTGCATGATATAATGTTATTCATACAATTTGAAATCATTTTTCTAGACCAGTATTTCTTGATAATTGCAAATTTTACATCTCACAAAGGGAATTTTGTACTAAATTTGATAACTAGTTAGTTTAATGGCTTGACTTAGAATAATTTAAAACTGTGAAGTTATGCTATGTTGTAGGAAGTCATGAATTTTAACGTAGCTTGTGCCTGTTAACATCATGTCCACACCAGAAAATTTCCTACAACATCCTTCAGCTCTCTCATATAAGAATTGCGAGGATCCTAGCTGACTGCCCGTGTTCCCGGTCACCATTTGTTTTGCCCACTGGGTCGGCAGCTAACACAGCCCTTCCAGCAGATGCTGCCAGGCAGGTGACTTGGGTGGAGGTGGTGGAATGGTGGCACATGTGAGCTCTCCCTGGCTGAGTCTCCCTCATGTGGGTGGTAAGCCATAAAGATGGCTGTCACAAGGAGACCTCCTAAGGCCTTCCTCCTTGATGCCTCAGTCCTGAGCGCCATGTAATCCCACTGTGCAGACGTGCCGAGGCCACAGGGTGGCTGTACACCCAGAGCCACCGTCTCCTCAGTGGCAGTAGTGTGTTAGAACCACCTCCTCGGCCTGGCTCCATGATGGATTCTGCAAGAGAAAGCTGAATGTTGAATGTAATGTGCTGAAATAGAGAAATAGGGCTCTGTAAAGGCTTTAGTAGGAGCAGCAGTATTTCTTTTTCCATTTACTTTGCTGTATCACAGAACCTTTGAGCCACAAGTTGGATCAAGCCCCCAGATAACTTCACAGTGCTCCCTGAGATACACGAAACCATTAATCTACAAAGATTCTTCTGCTTCCACTTAGATGTGCTGCTTTTGGAAACACAAAATCTTGCAGCCCCATACAGCATGTGTCCATCTGTGCTTCTTAACTGCCTTGTTCAGAAATCTGCCATCTTCCATGTGTATTGCTGTATATGAGTCTGGCACCCATTTAGAGTAATCAGTCTTTTTTTTTTTTTAATGCTATGAAAATAACCAGATCATTTCATCTTAGTTTAAGTCTTTTATTTTTTTTCCTTTTTTACTGCTGTCATTTCTTGTGCTTGTTTTTTTCCCCAGTGAGGGTTGTCGAAGAGAAAATACAATGAAGAATGTTGGAAGTCGCAAATATGCATTTAATTCCCTGCAGCTGAAGGCTTTCCCCAAGCATTACAGGCCTCCCGAAGGGACTTACGGAAAAGTTGAAACATGAACAAGGTTTCCTCTCATTAGCTGTTATATAATAAATGTGGGTACCCTCTAGTGTCATATATATGAATTCTTCAAGAAGAACTGAAGGATGGGTTTTTATTCTTGTGTTTTTAAAAATACTTCACTAAAGAGTCTATGGAGCATGTTTTATTCCCCATTGGAATCAATAGGAGGTAATGTTTGGCTCAGTAGTTGGGATAGTAATGACTGGCCATTTAAATAGCCTTCAGCTATAACTACACAGATAACGTTGATAGTTAACTTTATGAATCAAGCTAGGTATGTCTGAAATACTAGAAGACTTTTTAAATGCCCATTTAGGCAGCTCTTCCCATAACTTATTTTTCTACCAGTTAACTCAAATTTAAACACTTAATTGCAACTGATTTTTAAAAAATCTGAATGCAAAACAGTAATATAGGGCATAAATGGATCCCACACAGATCATATGTTCAAGGTTAACTCACGTTTGGGGACAGAAGCTAGCAATACTGTCTGTGACCATGAGAACAAGTGGTTCTAATAAACCGTCCATCTGTAACAACACCTCGGAAATTAGCAGTTACAGTGAAGGTCAGTTAACCATCGGGAGATAAGGCTTTGTTTGAAGATACCTGCAAAGCAGCCCACACAGTGGAAGCCACTCTTCTTCCTGTCCCTTACGAGTTACAGAACAGGGTATCTGCTTGAGAGACTGTTCTTCCAGTAGAAGTCCAACTCCAGGTCTAGGTCCCTCCATGTGGGCGGAGAATATATCCCTTTCTTCTCTGGATGTTGAGTACATGAACCTGTGACCTTAAATGTGGCATGTCCATTGTCTCTCAGCACTCCAATGGGGAATGTGTGTATGTAGACATAGTGGAAACCTAAATGTTTTCAGATCATAATATTCTTTTGTAGGATTTCCAGTTTATCTCCTAAAAGACAAAATGCAATCATGTTTGATGAATGTGTCTTATTTTCAGGTTTGCAATAATTGTTACTTACTCTTCTTGTTTTGTTATATAACTATTGAGAAACAGTTAAAATTATCTCAAGTGAGATTTGAAAGGGATTTATGGGCCATAAAACTTAGGGACTATATATAAAATAAAGTCTAGTCATCTTTTTTAAGAAGGTGATGAATCTTATTTGCACATAGCAGAGGATTTTTTTTCCTTAGGCATCTGTATGTTTTATCAAGTCTGTTTATCATGATTATAATGTTTACATGTTTCTTAAAAGGCTATCAAAGAAATAGATGTGACATGTGCTAATGATGCTGAGAAATCGATACCCTAATTATTTGTGAACCCCTTGGAAAGTGTTCTCTATGTTGCGTTCCAGATGTTGTTATTTTGATTTCTTTAGAAATAACACTTTGAAATGTGTAACAATGGCTTGGGTCTGGGGGTGCTGACATAAAGACAAGCCCACTACTTGGAGGGGACTCAGGCGAAGCAGAGGTCCCTCTCCCCACAGAAGGCAGTGTGGGTACAGAGCCAGCTGCTCTGTTGATGCCTGCCGGGCGGAACCTCCTCGCTTGAGGAACGTGCTCTGGCGTTGGAGGACACGTCAGTGTGGGCACTTGCAGCTCCTGCTCACTTTTCCCAGCTGGTCCCTGCTGGAGGGTGGGAAGCACAGAGATGCTGCAGAGGTGGCAGCTGCTAATGTCAGATTCTCCCATCCCTGAGTATCCATTCCTGTTAAAAAAAAAGTTTGTCTTCATTATGCCTGATTTAACTCTTTTACCTCACCGTCATTTTTTTATGTGTAATCGTGCGTCCTTTAACATTGCTACCTTTAAATTTTTGTTTACTTGGATTTTTTTCCCTTCAGAATTAAATACTTTGTCCTTATTTATCCCTATAATTTCTCCCTCAAGATGATTAAGTGTTTGCATTTATCAAAAGGGAAGCTAGTAAATATTACCTGCTAGCAACTTTTTATGTTGCCCCTTTTATATATGAGTCATTTTTCCAATTTTTGCTTCATATTCTGGGTCACTATAAAACAAGACTTAGCTCATTCTGTAGGAAATACTCAGGTTTCTGCATTCTCTGAAAGCATTGTTGCTGGGCGAACGTATTCTAGAACTTTCCCTGTGGCCGTAGAAGCACTACCAATTCTAGCAGTGGGCACGCCAAACAGTGTTGAGGGCCAAGCAGCTCCTCACTCATGGAGATTTTTGTTTTCAGTTGCACAAGGAAGGCAGGTTTACAGGTGACTGTGAAATCCAGGTTCTCATGTTCCTTAAAGGACACCTGCTATTTACAAGGAAATGCTGAGATGTGCTGAAAACCAGAAATGTCACGTGGATCCTGTGGAAGCTCCTGCAGCACAGTTGCCTTTGGTTTCCTTCACAATGTAAAAATGTTGTATAATACAGTCTGTCCCTACACAACTGTACTTGCCAAGCTTAGTGCATTCAAATACTTTAATTTATTTGTTTTGGGCAGTATTACCATATATAAACATATAGCCACTGTTTTATATATTCCGAGCTCATTCAAAGCCATGTATGCTGTAAATGTGCTAGTCTTTAGAATGACAAATAAATAACTGACTAGAACATATTAAACTTGGTCTTGCCTGATTAATATTCCTTGGCATTGAGGACTAGCATCTGCCTTGGTATTGAATTTTGGTCTGCCAAATACATTTGCTTGTAGACAGGGGCTGCACAAGGCCTCAGATTTATAACCTTGTTCTTCTGATCAGCAGCAATGTTTGGGACAAGTGTGTGGCCTGTAGCTGAAGATGACCCGGGGCCTGCCAGGTCCTCCTGCTCACTTGCTGGTGACAAGCAAGTGCTTGCCTTCTCTGAGCTTCCTCTATTACAGGCAAAGTATGGACAACAATGGTACGTACTTTATGAGGCCACTGTGAGGCACCTTGTAGAAAGCATTCAATAAATATTATACTTACCTTTCTGTGTCCACAGCTATAGACTGAGTTGTCACCAGCCAGCCTAGCCCCTCCCTGTGTCACTTGAGAAGTAGAATTCCAAGATTGGTTTGATTGTTAAAACCAGGATTACATTTTACACCATTGCACCTGCTAGTCGGCACACGTACCATTGACCTGCTAGTCGGCGCACATGCCAAATTAATTCCTCTTAGAAAATCTCTGGCAGTGAAATGTATAATTAGTACATAATTTGTTTTTAAATTTTTTTTATCTCACCAACGCACTCCCCCAGAAACTTCCGCTTCCCCTAGCAGCTTTCTTGTTATTTTCATGGACTCTTGAGATGGTACCTCTTTTTTCTTGTGTCTTTAATTATTGTGAACATAGAACATTTTTTATACTTTACTTGTAGTTCCAGTTTTGTCCCTTCACCGGAGTGTTGATCTTTTCAAACAGGTTAACTCTTTATAAAGTACAATATAGACATAGCACAGATAATGTGTGTGTTTATGTGTTGTTGTTTTTCAAATTGAAATTTTGTGGCAACCCTGCGTTGAACAAGTCTCTTGGCACCATCTTTCCCAAAGCTCAGTTTGTGGCTCCATGCCACATTTTGGTAATTCTCAAAATATTTTAAACTTTCTCATAATGCTCTCACATTTAGTAGACTGCAGTATACACATGGCTTTGAATTGTGTTGGGAAACTACCAAAAATGTGTGATTCACTTTATTGCAATATTTACTTTATCAAGGTGACTAGAAACCAAATCCACATATATCTGGGGTATGCTTGTATATTAACACCTCTGTCATACATGTTTTAAAACCTGTTTGTCAGTTGTCTTTTGCCACTGATTATAGTAAGAGGTTTTTATAAAAATTAAATGTTTTATGTGCATCAAGAAATTTCTCCGAAAAAAAAAAAAAAGAATTTTCTCCAAAAGAGTGAAAACATAACCTATAGATAGGGGAAGAATATTTGGCAATATCTGACAAGGAGTCCCTGTCTGAAGCCTATAGTGAACTGCAGCAGCTCAACAAGAAAAAGACAGCTCGCTTACAAAATGGGTAGAAAATATGAAACAACTTTGAGAAGACATTGGGATAACCAAAGACGACATTGAGATGGCCAACAAGACCCGGAAGAAATGCTCTCAAGTATGCATTGCCATCTGAGTGGTACCAACTCATAGCTGATGCACTCAAAAAAATTTTGCCCCTCTTTCTTCTACAGGAATGCTGGTGGATCTGAAACACCAGAGAGGTGCTGCCTTTGGGTTGTCAGCATGGCTCCCTCCAGACTGCACACTAACTATTGTAGAGATGCAAGTCAAAACAACAGTGGGGTACTGCCTCACTCCAACAACAATAACAAGGTTCAGTGAGTCAAAACCCAACAAATCTTGGCAAGAGTATGCAGGAAGTCCTTTCATACATTGCTAGTGGCCATGTAAAATGGTCCAGCCACTATGGAAAGCAATCCTTAAAAAGTTGAAAATACCCTGCCCAGGGCGAGCCGTCGCGGCCCTCTGCTCGGGGCAGGCTGCCCTCGGCCC